AATGGACCATCAACAAAGTGCATCAAAATCTGCACATGTCCGCTCCCAGAGAAACCAGAGACGCGCGAACCCACCCGCCCGCGCCAGATCCTCGGGTCTCCCCCGCCAAGGCCAAGGCCAAGGCCCATTCATAATCCTCTTTTAATGTAAGATATATGGTAAATCTATCGACGAAATCAAACGAATATCTGTAAACAGGATATGAATGTACCTGTACTTTTAAAATCAAATTCATCATTTGCAGACATGCAGGGTACCATTTCTAATACCTTTTGTAGATGTGATGCATGCAACAGGACGTTAAAAGAAAATACATCAATAAGTGCCACGTGATACTATGAATTCTCATGACAAACAAAGAAAATATGAAATCCGTTTCATTTTTTAAATCAATCACTCAATATTGTTTGAACGACATACAGCCAGCAAGAATAATTTTTTGGTACGTTTTATTTTTATCCGTAGTATTGACAATATACAGTTGCATATGAAGTTGGAATACATGTTCTTACCTCTCATCCTGAATAAACCTCCGACAATATGATTTATAAGTTTGTGACTTCTCATAACCTTATAGATCAATATTTTACCTTTTTAGATTGATCAATAAAGTTCGGAGAAGATATTAACTTTATACAAACCATATTGGCGGAACCATTTCATGAAAAGGCGAAGGACAAACTTATTCCAACTTTACGAGAAAAAGTGCAGAAAACAAAGAGGGAAGGGCGAGGAAAATTCATGTCCACTTGTCGATCCTGAACCCTGTAGCTTGTGATCTATAGTCCGGTGATTTATCCACTAGACCACAGCACCTTAGCTCTAAACCGTGTGAGTCAAAAAAAAAGTTTACACCTAGAAAATGGCTAATTATTTTAAAGATCATCTATGGACAGTAAATTATTATACATCTTATGAAAGAGTGTTATATCCCAAATCATTTGGTATCTTTTTGTGTGGTATGTGTTCACAGGAGGCATTGTTTGCAAGGGTGCAAAAATCGACTTGCGCCAAAGTTGCTTATGTGATGTATTAGAGTAATAGAGGATGAATTAAATGTATCAAATAAGATGCATTGCATAGGCTTTTTGCAGAAGCAAAGTCACACACACATACATTTGATATTTGATATTGTGTGGCATGATTTATTTTGTTACGGGTGTTATTTGGATCTGCAAAGAACGAATTAATACCCAAATCCCAATTGTTTTATTCAAACATCCCATAAGAAACTTTGGCGCATTTAAGTCGATTTTTGCACTCTCGCAAACAATGCCTCCTGTTCATCCAAGCGTGAACACATACCACACAAAAATGATACTAAATGATATGGGATAAAACAATCTTTCATAAGATGTATGATAATATACTGTTCATAGATGATTTTTGAAATAATTAGCAACTATCTAGGTGTAAACTTTTTTTTGGACTCACACTGTATGTATCCGTTCTAAACAGTGGATTATCTAGTATAGAGATGATCCGGCGTAAGAACCTAGCTCGATGGAAGATCCAAAGGGGGAGGGGGGTATTGAAGGTCATCATGCAATTGTAATGTTTCTATATTTCAATTTGTGATGCTTTAAGCTTTTGAAAGTGCCTTAAATTGATTTTTTTTTTAATAGTCTCCGCGATCTTTCTTCTTCTCGCCCTCTCGCCTTCTCGCCCTCTCCCTCTCTCTTTATCTTTCTTAAGCTCCCCCTCCCCATCCCACTCCCATCCCACTCCCCTGCCCTTACCCTCCCCTCTGACTCTTTCTTTCTGTCTGTCTCTTTCTCTCTCGCACTCTTATCTATCATGTCTTTTTCTCCTGGCAATATGACACAATCTTGCAGGCGGATGTTTGCCTCTTAATTTCCAAACTATACGGCAATTTAAAACAAAGCTTGATTGTACGACCAGTACCTAAGGCAGGCGCGGATCTAGGATTTTCCAATAGGGGAGCCGGAAATTTGGAAAGTGTGCAGACCATTTTTTCAACTCAACATACCAATACTGACAAGGTCATATTAGAAGCACCATACCGGTACAATTTTTGACATTTTCATCGGGGGGGGGGGGGGGGGGGGGGGAGGTTAAAGCCTCTTTCATGACAAAAGTTTCATTAAATTATTAGAGAAAGAAGATGATTCGTTGTTATATTCTCGACTCTAAAATAATCCTTGTCTGAATTCAGTTTTCCCCCGCTCGCGCGTAGCGCGTAATTTTCAGACGCTTCATTAAATTATGAGAGAAAGAAGACCATTCGTTGTACCATTCTCGACTCTTAATCCTTGTTTGAATTCAGTCTTTCCCCTTCCCGCGCGAAGCGCGGCAGCTTTGACTTTTCATAGTTTAATGATATTGTTAGAGGAAGAAGATGATTGGTTGTTCCATTCTCGACTCTTAAAGGCACACTGTCCTACTTGTAGCTACTTGCTCCCTCTATATAGAAAACTTCCCCAATCGGCGTCTGCTGGTCCCCCATGATCCTCTTTTTCTTATGTTAAATGAGAGCTGTGTGTAAAGTCAGTACGGGCCGGATTTTGTGTATTACGGGCCGGACTTTGTTGCGTGAAAAGTTACCCTTTATCGGAGATTCCCGGAGTGGGAGGGAGGGAGGAGGGGGGGGGGGGGGGGCTTTCTTCTTTTTCTTTTCTTCTTCTTTTTCTTTTCTTCTTTTTCTCTCTTTCTGCTTCTTTTCTCTTTTCTTTTCTTTTCTCTTCTCCTTTCTTTTCTCTTCTCCTTTTTTCTTCTCTTCTTTCTTTTTTCTCTTCTTTTCTTTCTCTTTTTTTCTTTTTTTGCGCCGCCAATAGGGGGGGCCGCGGCCGTTTCGGCCCCCCCTGGATCCGCCACTGGTGTGTCTCGCGTGTAGCGAAGGAGTTGAGGGCCTGGAAATCGACAGTTCGTCTCGTTGTGCCATTCTTCTTTGCGCAAACTACCATCAGATGACACCAGGTAACAGGCTCTTCAATGGGGACCAGTTCCAGCACACCCAACTGCACGTCATGATCCAATCCAACTTTCACAGCATCCCGTCAGTGGAGTGGAACGGGTATTGGTGTGTGATGCGCAACTGGCTCAGCATCGGGGTCTAACATCAGTTTCAAGGGAGGGCTGTCCATGAGGGTCAAGGGTTGATGTTCACAAGTGTTGAATGTGATCGATTGGTAGTACTTGAGGAGGTGCTGTCAGGAAATGGCAGCTTTGTCGGAGGTTGGGGGGGGGGGCGTTGACGCCTGAGGTAGTTACAAGTTCCTCCAGAGCCGTCTTGAAGGGCTGTTTGCGTCCCCACCTCGTACCCCAGTCGTACGCAACGTAGGGAAGGTATCAGGAATGATCCATAGGGCGATGCATGCCTCCTTGCTGAGGAAGAGTCTGTTAGAGCCTTACGTGACGTAGGTCATTTGTCGAGTTCCAATAACCTGTCCTCCCGCGCCTCTGCCAGAGAAACGGATAATGGCGGCCCCAAGGATCCGGATGCCGCCTTTTGTAGCGGTGCGCATCTTCATGTCGACCGGTAGGAGATCCCATTGGCGTAACCCAAGGCGGCGGATGACCTTTATACCAGCAAGTCAGCTCTGGCACCCTGTGTCTCTCATAGCAGAAACAGAGCAAGACATTGTAGGGGTAGATAGGTCGAAAACAAAGGCATTGTAGTCATCGGGCACGATCCTGACGGTCATGTCAATAAACGGCTGGGTGCTGACCGTTTCTTGTGCCACGTATTGGAGATTGGGATACACGTGGTGGTCCAGAGGGACGGCTGATCCAGGGTGAGGCCTTTCTGTAGTGCGGCAGGAGCAAAGGGCATCAAACATAGCACCTTCATAATCACTTGGGGCGCCGGGTGACGAACGTTTAGATTTTTGTCCTTACTGCGGTACACGCTCTCCATGTGATTTGGCACAATGCGTGCATCTGTGGCCATATGCTGGACACTGAGTTTGACGGATGCGGGCTGGGGCACTCATTCCATTTCCTCTCCTGCCACAATAACCACAAATGTCCTGTTTCTCCTTAATAGTTGTCTGTTTGGCTTTCCTGTTGGCTTTCCTGCTACCCACGTCCACTGAGGAGTGGGAGTCCAGGAGCGAGGAGGCGGATCGCTAGCCGGCCTCTTTGACTTCAACGAACTGGAAGACCTCCTCTAGCATCATGTCCTGATTCTTGTTGCCAAGGTGGTCAAGCTGGATTTCGGGGTCGCTGATGCCCCAAGTGAGGACGTCCCGCATGATGACGTCAGCGTAGTTAATGTCGGCGTCACAGCCGGGGCACCTGATGAGGAACTTGCAGATGTCTGCCTGGCCACGTAGGCGGGCCCCATAACTGCGTACTGTTTCATCTCGGTCCTTGCGCATGTTATGAAGCGCGACACGGGCCACCATAGAGTTCTCATCACGGACTGCCAGCTCAGACTCCCACCAGCTGATCTTGTTAGGTCTCTACGTAGGGGTTTGTCGCAGCATTCGAGCAGCTGGATATTCTTGTCCCCGCCGGTGACCTTTGTGGCCGCGACATAATCAGTCCATCGAGACAAGAAGTACGCCCATTCTTCACTTGAGCCAGCCGCAGCAACTTTAGGGCTTTTAACCTTCTCCACCTTTGGCGGCAGGTCCAACGGTGTGCAAAGCGCTGTGGGCAGTGATTAAGGCAGCTACAATGGCAGTATCAAGGTCCGGGGTAGTGTACCCAGTGATGGGGCAAGCGACGACAGGCACGGTTGTGATAGTCACCGTGATCATAAATAAGATCTGGATATTTGTGTCGGTCGATCAGTAGACTTTAACAATGATCACGGTCTATAAACGAATAAGATAAAAGAAGATACCCTTAATTAAGATCAAAATATAACATTATCCTCTAGGATAAGAGAATTTAAGTACTAGAATTTATTATATCATTTGGTATAGCATTTCAATTCTCCGTCGAGGTACTGTGATGATAACATTATTATGAGAAATAGAACCATGATTACAGAAAGATAGACATAAATATGATGTAAAAAACCAAGAACTTACGACTTGTGATGCACTGAGCAAACTTATCGCCACCAAATCCCAGCTCTATTTGCCATGCAGTTAATTTATAATTATCTATCTTGACGTTCTCGATATAGTAGGTTCCATTACAGAGGGTTACAAGGATTTCCAGCTTGTCCAGGCTCTCCACCGCACGAAGAAGACGCCAGAAAAATCCTCGGCGACCTACAAAATCGATGTCGAGCCTAACAATTATTTGGACAAAAAGATTGAAGGAGTCATAATGCGCAATCAGTTTTACGTTTACAAAAATGAAAGAATCATTATAAATGGCTTCGATTGAACGAAAGTAGCACATTCTTTTTTCCTTTTTTTTGGTCCAGTTTTTGAGGAAAAATTTCGCAATGACTCAACTAGCCGCTGAATAAGCGAAGGAGGAGGGGGGGGGGGGGGGGGGGGGGGAGTAAGAGCACTTTTTTTTTCTTTTTTTTTTAAAACTTGAATTTAACTCTCATCTCCTTGGCAATGTATACAAAAACGTTGTTCCTGGTGGTTCCTCTTCTTTTCTGACAAAACATGGGGGACATTTGATATGATGTCCCCCCTAGAAAAAAATCGTCCCCCTGTCCCCCAATTGACGCCCTTGATCGTGGGGGGGGGGGGAGGGGTCATTTCACCACCTGAAAAAAACTTTTTTAGCTACAATTTCGGATTACATGTGCTCTCAAAATTAAAATTTCCACACCCTTGTCGATATAAAGTTCAAATGTTTTTATCAATATTTTCATAATTCAATCCCATTTCCAAAGAAAATTTCACCACTAGCTAATTTATGTTCCTCTTTCCATTGGTAATATCAGATTTTCAAAATCATACCCCTGTTTTTGAGATATGTTACTGTCCGCGAATTAAGGTCACGCGAACTATGGTCACACCACAATACTAATACACATTCAGTGGCTTCAATAGCGAAGCTATATCCGTGGTGATAACAGAAGCTCGTTGGACGCGCATAAATTATAAGCGGAGGGCAAAAGTCCAATATCATGCTTAGTTATTTGATTTGCCTGCCACTACTTCACAATCTAAGCACACCTTCTTTATTCGAAAGATTTTATCATAATACACAATATTTCAGAAGTGTTTGTTTTGTTTTAATTTGTAGCGAACACCCGTTAAAGGTACTATGTCCCATTTGCAGGCCCAAAAAATGAAAAAGTTAAATTCCAACTGCATTTGAAAGATAATACCTATTTAGAACTTCCCTAAAAAAGGTGGGGCTTGAAAATGTCTTCAAGTGGGGAAATAATGACTATTAGTTGTCAAATCGACTTTAGGGCTATAGAGCCCAAAAGTAATAGTCTTGATTTTCAGACAATTGTACCGCATGGTCAGACGTTTTATGTTGCGCAAATATTCAATCAGTTTAATCTTGGCCATCACAAGAAGTGGGTTATTGAAGTAGACAAATGCTCATGTACCTTTACAACTCTTTTCATGTATGTTATTACCAAAGAAGAAAAAAAGCCAGTCAGTCACTCAATAGTGTCTGACAGTGAAGTCTAGCAAGTAAACGGGTTTCCTTGCATAATTTGAATATGAGGACACTGCTAACGTTTAAATTTCACAGATAGGACATACATGACATATTCATAATTCCTGCAAAGTTCTACAGAATTTGAGGTTGGCTGCAAAAGGGACATAGTACCTTTAATCAGAGGGGGTGTTCCAAAAAGCGGCCCTTTTTTTATGAAAAAATGTATTTTGTAAATAATATTTTTTAGGAAACCTTGAACCACCATGAATTTGGCGTCATATGAAATGGAATCAATTGTCTTCAATTCGATTTATGTATTTTGTTTAAATTGAGATTAATCAACAAAGCGCAATTTTAAGACAAAAACATTATCTTATGTGATTTTATTCCAAAAATTGTATTTCATAAAAAAATGTGTTACTTTTCATATATCAAAATTGGAGAGGAGCCCTTTTTTTTGCTTTCCAGGAATTTGTCTATCTACAAGGACAATATCTTTGGCGAAAAAACGACATTTTGGCCCATAGCCTATGTGTATTAACTGTATGCACATACGCGTACTAGTGTATTTGGGACGTGTTTGGTGTGTTTAAATAGAGTTTTAAAGATAAATTTTAAGTAAAACCTCAAATCACCATTGGTGTGTTGTCGAATGATGGATAATTAGAATACCTTCAAGTTGATATCAATTTCAATGAGTTATGTAGTGTGTAAAATATAAATTTTAAGCCGAAAATTAGCTTTTTGTGTATATTTCCCCCCTAATTTTGGCCAGTATCTCGATATATTAATTGGACGATAGTGATTGGACATTCAGTAAATACATACAGTTTAAAGGATTAGGAGTGCTTTGTGCAATTGGTTAGTACTTATGTTCTCTATGATGTTTCAGAAAATGTGGGCATGGGCAGTTGCCCCCAAAACGCACACACACAAACACGCACACACGCACACACTGTCAACTACTCTTTGGCACCTCCCCTAAATCAGACTGCTTTGCAAAATCTTTTTTTTAAGACAAATATTTCAATATAATCAAAGAAAGATAACTACAAAAAAATACTACTTCTGGTCTAGCTGTTATTATATAGATAGCCCAAGATACTAACAATGTAGGCCTCTTGAACCCTCAGAAAAATTATCAGAATGAAGACCACGCAGAATGGCGGATCGTGTATGTGGTGTAAATTCTTTACAATAGGAAGAAAAAACATGTTGGAACGAATAGCATTTTGCATATCAGAATTGCTCCCAAAGACTGATCTTTATGCATGGGTTTCCACCTCTAAAAATGTATTTTTTAAAAGTTGCATTAATAATGCTGATACATTTCTTCTTTCAAATTATTTGCTCAGTTGGTATAAAACGTTTCTTATATTACAACCATCAGAATACAGTTTATTGCATTGATATTTATTTGTTTTTATAAATATACATGTATATAAGAAAAAAAGCATTGCGTATATAGATTTTTTAAATAAAAAATAGTTTTATTAAAATAGTGAAAAGGGTCTTACCATCAAATATGAAAAGGGCTTTACTGTGATAACTATCATATAGAGCTATGATTCAATGAGTCGTGAATCTGTCTGGTTGCAAGGGATATTGATCCAAGGTGCACATAAGGGGTGCCAATATTGCCAAAATTAATGTTCCAACTCCGAATCCCAGTTCTTTTATTGCCATTGTATAAAGTTTAAATACCTTTACAAAAAAAAAATCGCACCCACAATGGTTGGATTTTCATTTTGTCTTGCAAACTCAGCATGTCATCTCAAAGACAACTCGTCATACTGGCTATTTGCCAACTCAGTCGGGGCGTGGCCTGGGGCACTCATATTAAAAAAGTCAATTTTTATGAGGGACAATAACTATCAGAGGGGAAACGTGGCTGTTTTGTTCACCTTGGATTCGCCCCCAGCAGAAGGGGGTGACATTATGAAAATGCCTTACTTCGCCTTTCCTTCTTAATTTGGACGACTTCCGATCACACTAGCACAACTTCACTTTTAAAATTAATCTATAATGTCTTTGGATGCCTTTTTATCACGGAGACGAACTAGGCGATCTGCCGCTTTGATCAAGACATAACACATGTAGAAACTCAACTAGGCGATCTGCCGCTTTGATCAAGACATAACACATGTAGAAACTCAACTAGGCGATCTGCCGCTTTGATCAAGACATAACACATGTAGAAACTCAACTAGGCGATCTGCCGCTTTGATCAAGACATAACACATGTAGAAACTCAACTAGGCGATCTGCCGCTTTGATCAAGACATAACACATGTAGAAACTCAACTAGGCGATCTGCCGCTTTGATCAAGACATAACACATGTAGAAACTCAACTAGGCGATCTGCCGCTTTGATCAAGACATAACACATGTAGAAACTCAACTAGGCGATCTACCGCTTTGATCAAGACATAACACATGTAGAAACTCAACTAGGCGATCTGCCGCTTTGATCAAGACATAACACATGTAGAAACTCAACTAGGCGATCTGCCGCTTTGATCAAGACATAACACATGTAGAAACTCAACTAGGCGATCTGCCGCTTTGATCAAGACATAACACATGTAGAAACTCAACTAGGCGATCTGCCGCTTTGATCAAGACATAACACATGTAGAAACTCAACTAGGCGATCTGCCGCTTTGATCAAGACATAACACATGTAGAAACTCAATGGTAGATTTGGTCTTTAAAAATAAATCCCACCCTCCATCCATATAACACGCCTATGTACAAGCTTTTGGGGAGATTTGCTGTACTATGCGGCCGATCATCTAATAACACAGAGTCAATAAAAAAATCGGATATTGAAAGGAAATCACACCCTATTTTCATAAAACAAGAAGAAACAAGAAGAAACCATAATGGCAGATTTTGCAGTCTTCACCTTAAATCTGACGAATTTAATAAGTTACCCGCTACGCTATACGCGGCAGATCACCTAAAATAATTAATGGCTATCCACTAGGTCCTCAGAAGCAATTAGAACTGTTACAACTTTGTCGGAAGATCAAATAACCAGATAACAACATGGGGGTGTTTCATCAATTAAAATTGATTTCGATTTTAAATATCAATAATAAAGGCAAAAGTTGATACTTGTGAGCTGTTTCATCAAATTAGTTTTAAGCAAAAATTGATTTTGATAATTTGTTCATAAATGTTAAGGGCTCTGTAATCAAGGCTAGTCAATTTTAGGTCAATCGTAAATATTCATAATTGAATGACACACGCCCTTAAAACTAAAACAACAACAACAATCAACCACGAAATGGCGTCGCTAAACTTCTGTGACAGGGGTCCTGGAAAAGTAAGTAAATTACATTTTTCTTCAATTTTTTAATACTGTTGTTTTGGAAGACGTAATGTATCACTCTCATTTTGTAGCAAAGAACTTCTTGTTTAACCGAATGCTATTTTAAATAAATATCACCAAATGTCACTCCTCACAACTGTGAGTGTGATAAAGGTGGACGCATTGCACCATCATTATCATCATCTTATTCCGCTATTCCGGAGATCAGCAAAGACTTATAATTAAACTGGTCACAGGAGCATAAGAGTGAAGCTAAAGAGTAACATCAAGGCAATGGACTGATAGTGCGCTAAGTGCATTATATACACATAGAGTAAAGTAATAGACGGTAGACTTCTACACGTATTGAATGGTAGGACAGGATCAAGTGGGATCGAGTAAAGTAGCACTAGTAAACATACTTGGATAAAAGTCGTCATATTGTGATGCACACAATGGAAGATCCCGGAGACAGTAATTAACTTTGGAGACACAATCATAGCGTATTAAACTGAAGAAGAATCGGACAGGGTGCTATGAAGTGTTCAACTGTCTCATCAACAACCTTGCACAGGAGGCATAACGGATCAGCTGCCTTCTGGATCTTACACAGTCCCATTCATATAAATTCATGCAGGTTCAACTGTAAATGTCTACCGACGTTTAATATCCGGTTAGCCATTAGGACAGGCACAATTTCATCAATCTTATTTATTCTTGCAGTTGATAACAATTTCGGTCCACTGCGGCCTTAGGAATCCGTGGCGGATCGAGCCGGTGGCAAAGGGGGGGGGGGGGGGCAATCTGTGAGGAAATATTTAGTTGCGACTCAGCCAGCCAGTGAATGAGCGGGAGGGGAGGGGGAGGGGGGGGGGGGGGGGGTAAGGGCACTATTTTTTGCCTGATTCGTGAGCATTTTTCTTTTTACAGGGGGGGGGGGCAGGCCCGTCGCCCCCCTCCGTGGATCCGCGCCTGTTAGGAATCATCATGTTGTGCCGATGGGTCTTGTGCTTTATAGTTATATAGGGGTCTAGACCTGTTAGATCTAGACTAGAGTCTAGTTGTCGATTTAGGAAATTAGGCTTAAATTATTTCCAGATCAACCTTGATGCCTGCAGGTAGGCAGTACGGTAGCCTAAAGACTGGTAGTAATATATGATAGACAGAAATAACTGTCTGGTATGGGTCATTCTTTAATAAAACTAACATTTGTCAACCTTCCTCATTGTCATACACAAAAGGCGGTCAGTGGAGCCAGATGTAGTCTCAGCGGAACAACTGTAGATATCAGTTTAATATCACTTAAGCTGTCGCTCTAGGTATAGCCGAGGCTAGTATAGGAAAGTTCTTGATCTTGTCTTGTTTTTGTTGATAATAACAAGCAACTGGGTCATTGTTTTAACGTTTTAACATTTTATGGAAGAAACTTGACTCTAAAGTGTTAGAACCAAGTAAGATCTTGATTTAAATCTACATAGATTTAGTCTACATGATACTATTTGATAGATCTTGGGTAGATGTAGACCTAGTCTCTACTGCCTTTGTACAGGACTAGACCTAGATCTAGACTACTGACTGTTTGTTGTAACATCTGAATTGGCAGGAGTATTAGGTCTAGTCTCCATCTAACAGTAACAAGTTCTACACGAGATGTAGAATTTAAAGTAGTAGGCACCTGTATCAAGCTCTATATATTTGTTTTTCTTAATGTCATTTTTCTTTTGACAAACTCAGAGAGGACCTCGAGCCTTATCCACCAAATATACCTTCAGTCCAAGAGTTCTCCTCCGCCTTATACTGAGTGCGCATCCTACCATGGCCCCGAGGGAAGGGTTTGGCTGTGCAGAATGTAATATAGCTCGATGTCTAGGTGTACAGCTATATCATACTGTGTTAAGCGGCCTTGTGACCTGACCTTCTTCCCAAAATTTGAACACCAACATTAAAACAAAGGGAAGGTTTTTTGTTTTTCTTCTTCTAGACCTACATATAAATAAATTACTTATTTGTTGTTGAGTGTGTAATCTTGATTTTCATATATGATTAAAGGGTTAAGGTACTGGACTTTATTACATTTTCTTTGTACAATCCCAAACTGATAATTCCATGTAAGGGGAAGTCAACAATGACAGGTCTAAAGTCTAAAACATAGATTAATTACTAGATCAGCCAGATTGTAAGTTATATTGTACAGAGAACAGGGAAGCAATTTATGTATAAAAATGTGATTAAACAAACTAAGCATATGTATGATGTCAGCTGCTCTGTTATATACCAGTAATTAAATGTATCTCTTTTCCTTCTATTCACGAGAGGGGATTTAAAAAAATTTATTCTGTGTACAACAGTGTTTAATTCAAGAGCAGGATATCTGAGATCAAGATTAGACTCAATAGTCCATATTGCAATGTCTAAAACGGTCAAAGTGGTTGGTAACAGTATGTGGGACCAACAACTTTTAAATTATAATTAGAATCGGTGATTAAAACGTACTAATGTTTCGTTGAACACATTAAATACAGTGACAATTATTTTTGTGAGAAATATATTTGCTCTCTTTATGAAATATTTGAAGAGGTTGGTTCTAGAAGGTACTACATCCATAAAATCCAAGTTCTAAGAAAAACACGATTTGTTAATTATCATAGATAGCAATGCTAGTTTGGAATGATATTTTGGCTAATTCCTTTGTATGATACAAGTATAAAACCACTATTTAAAAAAAATCTAAGTCTGCACAAATATTTTTTATGAATTTACTTTTATTAATTGTTGTGGATGTACACTGTCGCTCATAAAGTTTGAATATTTTTGTTTTACCCCAATTTATGGAATTATTTTAAAAATAATTTAAAAATAATAGATCTAGATAATAGTATACATTCTCAGATTTTATTGAATAATAATTTGACAATGTGTGTTTTGCGTGACTGCTTAAGCATGTGTATGCTACTATGCTTATTAAATAGGGGACCTACGCCCTTAAGTCATAAATGACAGTAATGAGGATTAATGCCCCACAAAAGGGCATTAATATAGCACATCGACACGGTTTTGATCCTGGGGTCTCACAGTTACGAGGCCATTGCTTTGTCACTGAACCATGACTGTACGCAGCGGGGGCTAGGGTAGGGGGCAGTTTCCTTAAATAAAAAAAAACAGAAAATGCAATAATTTTTCAATAATTTACTGCATTTTACCCCGGTCCCCAACATAAACAAATCCTCTGGATGGCCATGCATTATGGCTCAACTTGTCTTGGTCATGAGCAAGATTATTACAAGCGTCTCGAAGGGGCAGGGTGGGTTTTGGGGTTCGAGGGGCAAATGTCCATGCCTACAATTTCTGAAAATCAAACTGTAAGAAGAAGTACTTATCAATTGCACTGAGCACTCCTAATCCTTTGAACTTTCGGCACTACTAACTTAATGTCTAATTACTATTGTCCGAGATACTGGCCAACATTAAGAGGAAAAAATTATCCATAAAAACACCTTTTTGGCTCAAAATTTATATTTTACACACTACATAACACAACGAAATTGATATCAACTTGAAGGTATTAGTTATCCATCATAATATGACACTAGACCAATGGTGATTTGAGGTTTTACTTAAAAGTTATCTCATAAAGTCAATTTAAACACACCAAACACACCAAAAATGTTTTTTTGTTGTGTAAATCAAATCAAATAACTTTGAGTTGATATAAGTGTATATATAAGATATAAGCCTTTCCCTTGCATAAGATATTGTCCTTGTAATTGGTCAAATTCCTGGAAAGTTACAAAAAAGTGCACCTCTTTTATTTTGATTTTGATATAAAAAATTATGGAAAATAATTTTTTTTCAATTGCTATGTTAATTAATCATAATTCTATTGAGTTTGTTATTAAAATGTAGGTAAATTTCTATCATATGACGTCAAATCTATGGTTGTTCAAGGTTTACTTAAAATATTATTTACAAAATACTATTTTTCGTCAAAAGGGCCGCTTTTTTTTGCCCCCCTTCGATTTAGGGGCGTTTTCTACAAAAACAAACACCTCTTTAATATTGTTTTTATGAAAAAAATATTTCAAAAAAAACACAAGGAGCGCTTAGTGTGTGTTGAATTGGCAGGCAAACCCCCACTTTTCTGACTTTAGCCCTCCGCTTAATAGCTTTTGATAAATAATTATGAGATATGCGCTCTAGTATACAAGAACTGAATATTATTACAGGGTAAACTTGCATTTAGTTCATTTTTTTGAGTGTTGTAAACTGTAAGGTAAATTTTAGAGCAAATGTGCCTATATAACGGTATCCAGTCACTGCTTATGAGATTTTGGCCAACTCGGTTCGAGTTATGCACAATATGACATTAACATTTAATTATGGCGAATACTGATTTTTTGGGGGGCAAGCACAAAATGATTACGCGCCATGTTATACTCGATCGAAACCAAATTGGCCAAACTCTGTGAATAGATGGGTTTGGTCATATCCAAATTAGAGCATAACCCCATCACATCCATTTGCCAATACCAACACCCTCTATAGCTTCATTCTTACTTTCTAGATGATCCTTCTGATTTCAAAACTTTCTTTTTGATGAGCTCGTCTCGATGATCATGAAACCAGTCAAGAAGGGGGCTCATCGACGTCGGTACAGGACCAGTGTATACAGTATCTTTGTATTCTCTAAGCCCCTGCAAGAGATCGAAATTAGGTTGGTCATCGTCAGGTTCGACGAGGAAGAGACGTTGACTCAAATCGTTTCGATATTTCTTGTCCTCGCCAATCGAGAAGTTCCCAAGTACCTCGTACTGGTTGCTTATAGCTGTACGGCTAGCCATGTTCCCGTCGAGATAAATACAAACATTACTTGAGATGGTCGATACAGGGCCTGATCTGCGTAATTTACTTGTATAAACTAGTGTTGAAAACAATTTGTATGGGCGTATCTCTAAAATGCATATCATACCATATAAGGACTTACAATGGTTAGAGTTTTGCATGTATTCTCTAATATAGATGTTTGCTGTAAACGCTTTTAACTGTCTTCTCGCAAAACACGTAAAAGTGTCAAACAAAAGCATTACAAATTATATATATATAAAATTATCACGTCGGGTCATCATTCTCGCTATTCTCATATAGTTTGATATATTTCGTAAATTTTCAGTTGCTTGAATGTATATGTATTCGATTTATTCTCTTATTATATAATTCATTGATATTCGTTAGCTTTGAAGTAGGCTATACCTTAATATTGTGTGTCATGACCGGGGAATTCCACATACTTATACCTTAATATTACCATATAAGGACGTACAATGGTTAGAGTTTTGCATGTGTCACGGGAAGTGATATGTTGATGTCATTTCCTAAGTAATTTAAAAGTATTTTTATTTTTCTCGCCTAAAGAGGGCGTATGACCTGGAAAATAGTGGGTAGCCAATTGATTTTAGCGCGAGCTTTGAACTTTTGTTTACTATTGATAGGCAAATGAACAACGCCCCAAATAATGATGTCACGTAGTATTGTGAGTTGATACGTAAATTAGCGATCGTGTTTTAAAATGATCAGTAATATTTTCGTTTTTGTTTCTGTTGGAGAGCAAACGTGGTTCTTTGGAGCTTCATCTAGAAGCGTGTGGAAGCGTCATGGTATAGTGGTTCTGACTCTCGTCTTTCAATCATAAGGTCGTGAGTTCGAATTCCACTCCAGGACGTTAAAGTGATAAAGTAAGTGTTACGCAGGCTCCCACTTAGCCGAGTTGGAGCCTCGAGTTGTGGCGAGCTGGCGCGAGCTTATGGCAAGCCGTTTTTATCACTAAAACATATTTCTTGATATCAATTCTTGATATCAACAATTACCATTGATTTACAACGGAAAATTATTTCTTGATATCAAGAATTGATTTCTTGATATCAAGAAATATGTTTTAATGATAACACGGCTTGCCATAAGCTCGCGGCAGTTCGCCACAACTCGAGGCTCCAACTCTGCTAAGTGGGAGCCCTGCTTTAGGCGCTATATAAACAAATATAATTAATCTATACTTTCATTATTTGTTCAACTCTTGCCAAGCCAGAATGAAATTGTGTCAAGTTAAATGGTCTACCAGCAAGCAGTTTATGTTATTTCACATTAACATATGTCTTGGACAAGCTGTTTGCGAGGACAGAACCCCGGGCAGAACGTCCGTCCGAAGACCTGAATTTGTGTAACCCACAAGCGGTGGTAAGCTGAATCGTATTTTTTAAATTAAAGGACCCATGACATCGACCTAATCGAGCGTTCGCCTTCGAGGTCAAAGGCTAGGAGATCAGTCGGTCACTGGGCGGCGAGTTCAAAATCGGTCAGCAGCCTTTGACCTAGCGGCTTTGATTGTTGACCTAAACCGCTCGACGGCGAACCCCGCCCCCCCCCCCCCCCCACTCAGTGTTATTTAGGGTACGCGTATGCTTGTTCCCTCTTTTTGAAAGCACCCCCTATCTGAGGACTGCCAACATTTCCGAACCCCCTTTCGCAGGCTTTTCGCGGGCTTTTCCTGCCTTGGAGACCCCCCTAAATCCAGAAAAATGCTCAATGTACCCCCCTAAATTCAGAATAATTTCTCAGGAGTCCAAAGAGGTGAGCGGAAATAAAGAAAAACTCCCCCTTTTTTAAAGAAATCGAAAGTGAAAAGTCAAATACACCCTTTTTTTTTAAAAACAATTCTCGGGCCGGACTTTGTCGCACGAAAAGTACCCCTTTACCGGACATTTTGGTAACACGCATGCGGTCCCTCCGTTCTCGGGCGAACGCTCGATTAGGTCGGTGTCTGAGCGGCGAACGCCCGGCCACCGAGCGTATTTTGGCGCCCCGCCGATCAACGGCCGGCTGACGGGCAATTTCCTTAAAATTAGCCAGTGGCCGGTGGGAGACCACTCGGGTATCGGTGGGTCATCGGTGGCGGTCACTGCCGGCACGCCGCCCGGAGAAGCTCTCCGATTTCAGAAGGTACATACTTCCGAAAGGTCGGTAACTCCCAAGGATCGTAAATGAATAATTACTAGTATTCATAAAAATGAGAATTTTAGTAGACCTTCTCACCAGTCTGATGTACAATATTCAAAGATGAAAGTCTAAATTTGTATCAATTGTGATATGACAAGAAGAAGAAGAAGTATAAGAAGAAGAAAAACTGTATGTTTGTTTATTTTCAATATTATTGTACCTCAATCAGTCACTTGATCTTCCCCCGTGGTTTTGACCGGTAGCTACCAGCAAAATTATTCCTGTCTGCTCCCAATAAATCTCACCCTTTCTCTCTCTCTCTCTCTCTCTTTCGTTCACCTATGTTTGTTCCTCTCACAATCTTCCCCCTCCCTTTCCCACCTCTCTACCCTCCTCCCCTCCCCTTCTCTCCCATTCGTTCTCTCCCCATAGTCTCTTGCTACTAAATAATCTTTACAAATGAACTGACACCCGTGTTCATACCATTTAGTAAGCATCGCTATATTTCTGAAATGGAAATGAAATCGTTACCTTATGCCTAGACACAATTTAACAATAACAACAACCACAACAAGAAACATTACGATGAAAGAGATTATATTGAATAAAAAAGTAGCGGTATAACTAGTCAAACAAATAAAGGGATATGGATAAACGAGACTACACAAATAATTGTTTCAATGTGTGACAAGCGAATCGGTCCAAAGATGGGAAAATTTCTAGTATTGTCATTGTTTTGATGACACGATGATCCAATGACCCACTGTTTAGGACTCTATGCAATCATGGCTATATGTAACATAAATATAATTGGCGACTTACAATCAATCGTACAATTCTATCTCCAATCTTATTGCAATTAATCAATTGATTCTTGAAAGGCATTGTATCTATCTGTAACATACTAATGATCGTACTTTACTAATAATTGTAAAGTTACGATTGATAGAAGGAAATACTTTATGGGGGGTTAACGATTAATTTTGGAGAGGTGTAATTGATCGTATTTTTTTTTTTTTTTTTTTTTTGGGGGGGGGGGGGGGGGACCCTATCGACTTGCGCACGTGTTTGGTTTTCAAAACAAAATGGCAATTTTACTTTAAATGCAAATATTAGTCGTTAATGTATATGATCTAATAGTCCATTCAATTAAATAACTTTCACCTATACATTTTTAGAGCAAATCTAAGATCCCCTCCATTTTGGGGGTCATTAGTACTGCATTTTTTGTCTTTCTATTTTTCCTTTTTTTTTTTTTTTTACAAATTTGTTTTTTTACTCATATCATGTTTTTTAAACTTAATATCTTTATTTTGTATCATGTTATTTTACATTAATTACATCGAGTTGATAAAACGAAGTCTTTGTGGCAGATGTAAGTTTTGTTGTCATATTTAGATCAATATTCAACTTAATTCATATTTACAGTCGGGGTCTGACCACTTGACCGAAAGTCCACAAAACTGAAGATCCGCGAGACCAAATATGAAAAAGGTTCCGCGAGACCGAAGGTCCGTATAAGACCGAACGTGTTAATAATATGCCGCAAGCTATCTATCTGGGCCGAATTTTGGTCGCGTATGTTTGACAAAATAGACTAATTTCATGTCCCGTGCACAAGACAATTGATAAATAATTATAATGACCCTAGTGCACACAGATTCATCATAACAATTTCTTTGTATGCACCCCTTCAGCTGTGGAAATATTGTTGTCATTGATTTTGCAGTTGTTTAAAGGTAATACAAAGTTTTGGTACGGGGTCATGAATTTTGTTCATATGAACATATTGGAAGCATATGCGATCCTACAATATTCAGGGATCGTTGTCGCGGTTGAAATCGAGTATAAAGTTATGAAATTGTAAATAATAAGGTTTTTATGTTGTATAGCTCCTCTTTAGGTCAAGATATTAATTAAGCTATAAAACAATGTTTCTTAACTAAAATCGACCAAATAGCTATTTCCGTTTGGAAATTATATATCACAACTACATATTCTGAGATTTTCATGGTCGCAGCTACCATTGTACGTCCGTAGACGCTATTTGAAATTTAACAAAATTTACCGGGAGCACCGGTAAATGTTTATAATCAATTTTTTCTTGAAAGCAATAGTGTTTTAGGGGCTAAATTTTCTAGTGCTTATAATACATCCACAGGGGCATCCAAATATATAAAAATTGTAAAGAATCACTATCCACCCAATTTACAAATTTCCCGAAACTTTGTATTACCTTTAAGGTGCCATATAAAAGAATGCTCTTTGAAAGAGGTTTTTGTCATCAGACAATCAATAGCTATATGAACTGAGTTTGCTTATATAATAATGACAAATAATAATACTAATAATGATTACAATGATAATAATAATGATAATAAGAACATTAACACCAATAATAATAACGTTGTTTACCCAGGGAGGCCTCATCAGCATCATGAAGGTTATGCATTTATTATTACTCCAACAAGTACCAGCTGGTATACCCAATTACCCCAACAAGTACCAGCTGGTATACCCAATAGCACCTGGGTTGAGAGTGGCAAATGTAGACTTAATTCTTGCCGGAGGACGTTATAGTGCCGGGCTGCATTCAAAATATAATGGTTTAAATACAGGTTTATATGTTTTTATTAATAATTGTGGAAGTAATTTGTTTTTTAATGTATCAATAGCACTGCGTCAATTCTCTGGTCGTGCTATTAACCTATAGTAATCTCTATTCTGCGACCTGTTGCGAACTATTCAAATAATGCGAATATCAATCCCTTCCAATATTCGACTATCAAACTTTTTTAAATTGAAGTTTGAAGTTGGGGACACCGAAACCATTACATATCTACCTGGAAATCGTCTGGATGGTTTACAAGAATAGTAGTATGGTGTAATGGGAAAGTCTCAACGGCTCAACCAAAGTTCTACACCCTAGCCAAGTACATGTAGACGTGATAAAAGTTGCATTTTAATATCGGTATTTTAGCTAAGTACTGTAGACGCGTTATATTTACATTTAAAGCTGCTAAAATTATATCACACTATATCCGGGAAGTATATTGATATTTTCCCTCACATTCTTCTGGGTACATTTTTTGAAATTTTAATTATCAACTCCTCATCATGACCTATTACATTAATGATGGTGTGATTTTTATCATAAAAGAAAAGCAAGTAATTCAATTCTTCATCTTACTTTGCTCCCAATTATCAACCCTAATCATTCAATAAAATGCACTATAAACCTTGATATGCCTAGGGTCCGATAAGATATATTGTAATAATTAGATGAAGGGATCATATAATGCACCTACAAAATTGACAACCCGGCTAAAGCCAAATGTGTGTGCACAAGCACATGGTGTGTATGTCGATCGTATAACTGCACACATTATTATGTTTTTCGGTCTCACGGGCCTTCGGTCAACTGGGCTGTAATGTAATCGTTAAGGTATGAAATATAAAATCCTTCTTCCTAGTATTGTATGTCAGATCATGCTACAAATAATATTGATGTTATTATGTCCATTCAAATGCAGCCCGTATTTAAATCAGAGATAAACCTTAATAATATAATTAATTCCAATAATCGCAGAGGGTACTTTATTTTCAGCATTTGCATTGGCTATGAATTAAAAAAAAAAAGGTCGATATATTCTCCCATTTCTTATAGAAACAAATAATGAAACAGTATACTTTGTCTAGTGAACCTTTACCGATCTATGCATATAGTTTACTATACAAAAGGAATTATATTCACACCATCCGTAGGGCGATAAAATGATTACTTTGAATACAAGTGAAGCAAAAAGCAGGGTTTTCTTAACATTTCATAAAGTCAAGAGTTAATATAAAAATACAAGTAAAGCGGATTATTGATATTCCCATAAAACCAAGCATATATAGATGCTCATAAAACAAGTGATTCTCCGGCTTAATTCCTCTATATTTATATGAAAATCAGCACATATACCTTTATAAAACATCTACAACTTACATATTGTATAAGACCTAACAGCTAATCCTCTTTTTCTAATTTTTCTGTGCATATTGACAGAGACAATGCGGGAAATACTAGTCAACATTATCATTACCATTTTTATAATTATCATTTTACATTATTTACTATCGTTGTTTTCTGATGCGGCGGATTATAATGGCACATGAAATATATATGTCGAGCTTTGGTCAGTCGTTTGTAACACCGACCATGGCTATAGACATGATGGCGGCCATTTTTTGTCTACTAGTAGTCCTTCATGTAACACCGACCATGGCTATAGACATGATGGCGGCCATTTTGTTTTATCTACTAGTAGTCCTTCATGTAACACCGACCATGGCTATAGACATGATGGCGGCCATTTTGTTTTGTCTACTAGTAGTCTTTCAGGTCCAAGACATCTTTAAGATATTGATCTGGAAGTATGACGTAATCATCTTCTTTTCGTCCAAGAAGACGGAATCTTCTGGAGCGTTGTTTGTCCTTCAAACCTCCTCCCCTCTCGATCTCAGGCAACTGAAGACGATATACGGCACTGTATAAGAGAGAAAATGTTCATTGTCTAACTAACTCGAAATCTTCATGTGGAAAGGTGTGGTGAAATGACTCAATACTAAAGTCAGTTTCGATATATGCACTGACTTGTAAATTTGATTTCGATTCAAAGGCAAAAGAGTTGATAGTGCTAAATTGTCTGGAAACCAAATAGGAATACTGTGTTAAAATTACCCAATTTATTTTCTCAGGCTCACCTTTGAGCTTAGAAATATAGCAATATACTGTAGATGCATACTTGCAAGCGCCTGAAAACGTATTTCTTTCAATAGAGTAGCTAGAGGCGAACCATATGGTAATTATCAGACAACTTTTCCACAATTATGTTTTCTTTTAGCTAAGATATGTTCACATATCATATTCAATTCAATTTCAGTTTAATTCAATTTAATTTAAATTTAATTCAATTTATTTCAACCATAGAAATCCATATACAATCATTCATGGAAATATAAAAACATGGGGTTAGGAGCCCCTAAAGAAGTTTGAATACGAACAAAAACAACATTATAGGGAAAACATTTATATACAAGAAAGAGATTAAAAAAGCCTATATGAGCATAAAACATTTACAACAAAGCACCAGCCATGAACGGACATAGGACACGGTGTCAAGCGACACTACGTCCCTATGCGTCCTAAGCCTGTGCTTTACAGTATTACAAAACATTACAAATTATTCATTGTTTAATTGGGCGTGATATTTTTTATTCTGCTGTCATTCATATTACTATCTTTATCATCGTGAAATGCTGCATAAATGGGTAGTTGGTTATTAACTTCAAAGTGTAAATATTAAGCTCGAGGTAGTCAGAATATCGAAATAACACATGGTTATCCGTCAAATGTTTTAGTAGTGTAATTGCAAATGCAATATCATTAAAATAATGTCAATGTTAAGAGTCATACTTAAGATTGAACTTAATACATGTATCACGATGTAAATAGGGATGGATGATGTATGCGTACCGTGGATCGTCATCTCTAACCAGTTTCTTGATTTCTGAGAGATAAGACTCAAACTTCTTCTGACACAGCATGGGGTCCCAAAATCCCTACAAACAAAAGAAAAATTCGATTGATTAAAACGGGTACATCGATTCTATGTATAAAATATCACATAACAATATATGTATGATTTTAAACGAATTGACGATGATGGCGTCGCGTCGGTAAGACATCCGGTAACCATGGTAACCCATGGAAAGCTAACTATAACCAAGAGACCTGTCCGAATCAGCGTGTGCTTCATATACCTATATTTGGACTACCGATTTAATTAGATACTTAGTTATAAACCAAACATGGCATTTTGGGGGATGCAGCAAAAGTTGAAAAAACCCGTAAAAGGCTGCACCCCAGAGTGTGGCAGTACTATTCAGAATGAAGTCGCTTGTCCAAGCTACCCCCTTTTATCTTTCTCTTTCCTTCTTCCTCTTCTCTTCCTTACATACTGAGAATATTTATGGCTCTTTTTTTTTCTCTCTCTCTCTATAGACTAGTCTATATTAGAAACCTTATTATACTTAAATTGTAAAATACACAGATGCATTATACCACCATTCTTTTTAAACAATCATTGTTTGCATATTACGTTAATTTTAGATGATTATACTTCTAGTAATACTTGATTTTCTTTTCTTGTTTACTTGCTCTTAATTCCTTGTACTTCATGCTTTTAGTAATTTTCGCAGTTCGGCTTTTAGTCGCGACGGATTTATCTTACAATATTTCGGTATACTACTATTAGTATTTGCATTTTACATAAAACACTTTCTTTTGAATATAATTGAACCAACGACTGACCTATTCAGAAGTTTGAGGTTAAAGATGCTCATGCGTGGGTATAGTCGTTCGTGAAGTAGACAATTAAAGGGACTCTAGTGCGTACGCCCGTGTGCTGCCCTCTATATACACACGCATGAGCAACTTTAAGATATCAACATATTCATTACATTCATGATATTGGTGCTATACTGCAAAAAAATAAAGATTGCAGGCCCGTAAGTGCCGTAACAAAGATATTAGTGGGGGGGGGGGGGGTACAGGTATTATATGAAGTGGACCCCTAAGGGGCCTGGATTACCAATAACTGGGGATGGAAATCCAAAGAAAGGAAAAGAGAAAAGCTGAAAAGCCTTACCTCTGATTCAAAAGACAGCTGATTGGTCTTCATGGTTTTGACTGATGTTATGATATGCCTTCTATCATCTCTCATACCGCATATCACTTCAGGGATGCCAGCCATGTAGGCCTGCGACCACCACTGTAACGTCTTGTACCTGCATGAAGACAACATAACATAAGATGAACCTGGTAGTAACCCTCTCCTTCTCCTTTTAATGAAGGACCAGGACTGTATCACCACAACGCAAAACTGCGACATTAACCCATCGCCTGGGGCAGGGACGACGAGGTGGCTTCCAAAGTGAGGGTGCATCGAAAAGGGGCACTTACAATAATAATAATTATAATAATGAATACTTATAAAGCGCATTTATCTATTTACTCAAGACGCTATAAAAATTAAAAAAAAACAAATCTCTCTCCAGAATTTTAACAACATAATTTAATGTTTCTGAAAGGCTTTCTAAAAGGTTTATCCGAAAAAAGCTGCCAAGTGACATTCAATGTTCTGAAAGGCTTCTGAAAGGTTTATCCGGAACAAGCTGCCAAGTGACATTCAATGTTTCTGAAAGGTTTATCCGCAACAAGCTGCCAATAGACATTCAATGTTTTGAAAGTCACTTGGCAGCGCCTTCCAGAGGACTGGTTTGCGCAACATACACAAATGCACATGTTCAACTGTTGTCAAGAAGGAGCACTTCTTACAAAGTAATAGGGGCTCTTGTCAAAGAAAAAGGGGCATTTTTCCAATGTAAAAAGAGGCATGTCTTACAAAGCAAAAGGGGAATTTTGGGGTAGGCCTACTTGAAGAAGTGTGGCGCACAGTCAGGCCCCTGCCCCCTGCGCCTCCGGAGCACCGCCTCTGTGAATTGATTATGCTTACCATTCTATCCTAGCGTCATGTGATAAACTAAATATCAAACCATGAACTATCAAACTAAGGAAACCATTCCTCCATCAGGACAATGTAGTAACGACTCGTAAAATTTCATACACACCGATGCAGACTTGCAGCATACAAGCCCAAACCTAAAATATTTCTAAATACACAAACGTGGGAATTCCCACATTTGGAGATTGCGCAATACGGGCGGCCGAGCGTAATAATTATGATCATAGAGCTTGCACACCTCACAAGTCCCCCCCCCCCCAAGTGCGACGTGTTTCTACATAGATTGATTGGTTACTTTTATTCATATTTCATGCACAAATAGAAATAAAGCGAATAAGAGAATTAGTAATACTCCAGAGTCAAAAAAAGTTTAGACCTAGAAATTGCTAATTATTTTAAAAACAGTAAATGTTTATTCATAGTATGAAAAAGCGTTTTATCCCAAATCATTTGGTATCATTTTTGTGTGATATGTGTTCACGCTTGGATGAACAGGAGGCATTGTTTGCGAGAGTGCAAAAATTGATTTGCGCCAAACTTGCTAGTGTGATGTTTGAATAAAACAATAGGGATTTGGATATTAATTCGGTCTTTGCAGATCCAAATAACAAAATTAATCATGCCACACGTATCAAATATCAAATATCGACGAACATTTGTGCGTGTGCGTGTGTGTGTGTGTGTGACTTTGCTTCTGCAAAAAGCATTTGATACATTCAATGCATTCTCTCACTCCGCTAATCCCAACATAATACATGCTGTAGGCATCACTTTGGCGCAAGTCGATTTTTGCACTCTCGCAAAATGCTCATGTTCATCCAAGTGTGAACACATACCACACAAAAATGATACCAAATGATTTGGGATAAAACACTCTTTCATAAGATGTATAATAATTTACTGTTCATAGAATATGTTTTAAACAAATAGCAATTTTCTAGGTGTAAACTTTTTTTTTGACTCACACGGTATATGGAGTAAGATGTGTCACAGAACTAGCAAGTATTTTCAGTCTGCACTAATCATATATTTATAATAATATGATAATAATAATAATAATAATAATAATAATAATAATAATAGCCCAATGGTCCACTCCAAATTTTTTGCCCAATTGATCGTGAGCCCGGCAGCCACTGAGCTGCGCCAGATCAACGTTGCTCTATCCCTTTATTGTTGAACGCCAAACAAGGTAGCAACAACTCCTATCTTTTAAACGTCTTTTGGTATGACGCGGCCGGGGTTCGAACCCACGACCTCCCGGTTGTGAGGCGGACGCTCTACTGACTGAGCCAACACTCCGGTATATAACATAGTAAACTTACAACAAGTATTATGATTTCCTCTTACTAAAATGTCATCAATACATATACAGGTACAAAGAGTTTATATTCTATCTAAATAACAACCAATAGTTTACTAAATAAATTCTCGGAGTGAAAGAGAACTGATAAACAATACAGAGAGAGGAAGAGAGACACAGAGAGAGGGGTAGAGAGAAAGAGAGAGGGAGAGAGAGAGAGAGAGAGAGGGGGGGGGGGGATTGAGAAGGATACATGAAATACAATTATATATAGAGAGAGAGTCAAGGTCAAGGTAGCAAGAGCTTTATGTTGTCACCTTTTGAAATTTGCCAGGGGTTTCCCTTCGAGATCATCATTTCTGGTTTTGATGCAGACATAGTTTTCTGGAGATGCCTGATTCGAGTCTTTTCGTTCTGCCTGAACTTCGGTGCTGAGAATGATACGATGATCGCCATACTGTGTCTTCATCACCGCTACATACTGGGCGTATGCATTCACCGGTTCGTCGAGGTCAGGCATGCTGCTCCCGTCAGCTTTAAAGTTGAAAATTGTTTTCAAGTGAATACAAAGTATTAGTACAAAAAATTACTTAAAAGTCAATGCATATATTTGTTCATTTTTGCTTATTCTGTGTTAATTAAACAGGGTGATCTCTTTAGTACATTAAACTGCTCTGTAAGAGAGATATGTTTACATAATTAAAATCCAATGAAAAACAATTTAAAAAAATTCTATACTGTTAAGTAAAATATTGCAATACATAGCTGCAACGAAATAACACAAATATGAAACGATAGTAGAGACACGTATTAGCCTTTTGATCACGTCTTAATTACACATTTCAATTAAAATAAACTATAATTTATTGATACAAAAATACCGAAAAAGATAAGTAATTTGTATAGCTAAAGCCTCGGCGGATCCAGGAAGGGGGACGGGGCAAGACACACACCCGCAATACCCAATCTGGCATACTCTTATTACAACTTAAAGGAAATAAATGTGTGCACGTATTGTGTTCGTGTACTCCACTCTCGACACAATTTGTGTTTCCTAGATGGCACCTAGGAAACGTAATAACTTTGTCGCGGTTGGTTGTCAGAGACTCTTTAAAAAGTAACTTTGCTCCACCCCTCCCCCTTAAAAGAATATTCTAGATCTGCAGCTGTCATAGGCTCGGTTCTGGGAGGGGGGTTATGGGGCGTATATAGGCAATATTGCATCGCTTAGAATAATAGTTTATGGGGACCTTGAATCCCCAGCTTCTCTCCTGAACCAGCACTTGAATTCATTTTTTGCATTTGGTATATATAGCATATCAATTCTCCGTCGAGGTGCTGTGATGATAGCATGATTATGCGGGATAGAACCAGAGAATACAGAAAGATAGACAGAAATACGATGTAACAAACAAGAACTTACGACTTGTGATGCACTGAGCAAACTTCTTGCCACCAAATCCCATCTCTATTTGCCGCGCTCTTTCCTTATCAGTATCCTTGACGTTCTCAATATAGTAGGTTCCATTGCAGAGTGTTACAAGGATTTCAAGCTTGTCCAGGCTAGCCACTGCACGGAGAAGACGACAGAAAAATCCTCTGCGACCTACGAAATCGATGTCGAGCCTAAAAATTATATAATTTGACAAAAAGATTGAAGGAGTCATAATGCGTAATAAGTTTTACATACGAAAATGAATGAATCAGTATAAATGGCTTCGATTAAATGAAAGTTTCAGATCCCGTAAGTGTATATTTTCCCCTTGAGCATTAAAACAAAAATTTGACAAAAATCAACCCCCCCCCCCCAAAAAAAAAAAAATCAACCAAAAGAAAAAAAAAAATAATAATAATGTTTTTTACTTAAAGGTACTTAGTAACATTGTGATGGTTGATTTCACAAATCTGTTGAATCAGGATGCAAAACACGTAATATTATGTGTGTATGTATGGATTATCCAACTACGATGCCCCAAATCCGAAATTAATTCACGCAATATGAAGACCGGAACTTCAACGGCATCTCAAAAGACAAGAGCGTCATTGTGAAGTTCTCTACCTACAACATGAGGCAGAAGGTGTACGAGGCGAGGTCGAAGCTGAAAGGGACGTCGATCTTCATCAACGAGGACCTGACAGGCGAGCGACAACAGCTGCTATACGCGGCCAGGAGGTCCCGCGCCATCGCATGGACGTGGACACAAGATGGAAAATCTTCGCCATCACTGCCACGGAGAGAAAGCGGGTGATCATCCAGAACCTGAGGGACATCGATCGCCTTGGTTAGTCACGATTAATTACATTGTAATGTTTTTATGGCATATTAATTAAAATGCCTATCCGTTATCCGTGCATGATATGTGAAAGAACAGTAAAGAATAACCAAAACGCATTATTATGCGTAATTTGTTCCTCATGGTGCCATCTTAGTTGTAATACATCGAACCAAAGTGCTTTTGAATCAGATAGTGACTGGATTTGTGATGTTTGCGCCTTCAAAGAACTCCCATTTGATGACAATGAACATAAAGGCAAGAGTGATTTCTCGTACACTGACCCAGATGCAAGTATTATCATTAATGACAATTCGAATAATAGTGACACTACAGAATCAGATATAGAGGAAGAAATAAAACAGATATCTAATTATAAAGGACTGAAATTAATCCATCTGAACTGTACATCTGTTATGAAGAATATTGATGAACTGAGAATATTACACGCGAGAACTCAACCAGATATTTTTGCTTTGAGTGAAACACATATTAATGACTTGATACATGACTCTGAACTGAAGATAAGTGGATATAATATTGTACGCAAGGACAGAGATAGACATGGTGAAGGTGTTGCAGCATACATTAAAACTGATTTAAATTATGTAATACGTGAAGATTTGACGGAAAATGGTCTAGAACTTATTGACTGTTGAATTGCAGTTCTCGCATATGAAAAATGTTATTTGTATTGTTTGGTACAGACCACCTAACTCTGGTGTCCACAAGTGTTTGAGAAATTTCGAAATGTATTACAAAAACTTGATGATATGAATTGTGATTATGTAATACTTGGTGACATAAATTGTAATATGCAGCCCGAAACAAGATCCTGGCAAACAAACCAACTGTTAGAAATTGTTGATAGTTTTAATTTGTCCCAAATTATTGATACTCCCACAAGAGTCACAAAAGATACTGCTTCTGTATTGGACTTGATAATAACAAACAGACATGAAAAAATTGATAAATCTGGAGTATTACCTATAAGTATGAGAGACCACTATCTTGTATATTGTACATGGGGGAAAAAACGTAATACTAAACAAAATAGTTGTCATAAGTATAAATTATTGCGTGATTTTAAACATTTTGATGTAAATGCTTACATTGCAGATGTAAAACAGATTAATTGGGATGATATTCAACAATGTAAAGATATGAATAATGCATACGATACCTTTATAGAAAGATTGATGGTTATTACTGAAAAAATGCGCCTCTCAAGAAACGGAGAATAAGAAAACAAGAATCCCCCTGGATGACATCAGAAATATTGGATTTTATTCGTGAAAGAAACTTTCAAAAGAAAAAAGCAATCAAATATAAAAAAGATAATGACTGGACTGAATATAAATGTTTATGAAATCAAGTCACTCAGAAAATTCGTAAAGCAAAGGCTGATTTTATTGTAAAGAGTGTTGAAGTAAGCAAAGGAAACTCTAAACAAATTTGGAAATCATTGAAAAATCTTATGCCGAGTAAGAAAGATAATGAAAATAATATTGTTATAGAAGACCATAATGGCATACTGCAAAAAAGAGAAGAAATTGCAAATAGATTTAATAATTTTTTCGTAGATATTGGAGTATCAATTCAAGAACAGAGATGTGAGAATTATAATTATGATGATCATGAACAATTTGTACAGAACACGTCTGCAACATTTGGTCTTCAGTCAGTGAGTGATCAGAATGTTAGAGAAGTATTGATGACGATTCCCGATAAGAAAGCATGTTGAAATGATAATTTATCAGTAACGCTGTTGAAACCAGTCGTTGAATTTATACTGAAGCCGTTGGTGTATACCGTAGACCACTCGGTATTGTTGAATAAACTGCGTCTTAATGGATTAGATCAGCATGCATGTAAATGGTTTCGTAATTACTTGAGCAATCGAGCACAATTCACTGTCGTAAATGGTGTTCAGTCATCTCCGCAGATAATTAAATGTGGAGTACCACAAGGGTCGAATTTAGGGCCATTATTATTTTTAATCTTTATCAACGACTCACTAAACTGTCTTAAAAATTGTGTTGTTTCATTATATGCCGACGATACCTGCATTTATTATGCTAGTAACACTGTACAAGATATTGAAAATCATTTGAATCAAGACTTACGGAATATTTCTGATTGGCTTTCATGTAATCGGTTGGCACTAAATACAAAGAAATGTGAAACAATGCTAATTGGATCTAAAAAAAGAATTCGTGGAAAAAATGTAGATGTTTTTATTGAAAACAAAAAACTGAACCAGGTTACTGTGTGTAAATACCTTGGGGTATACATTGATAACTCGTTAGATTGGGATAAACATGTGAAACATTTGTGTAAAAGTACTCTGAAGAATTTGTATTTGTTAAAAAGAATAAGACATTGCATCTCGCAAAAAACGGCATTACTTTTTTATAAGTCAATTGCTCAAAGTAAATTAGATTATTGTGATGTTGTTTGGAATAATATGAAGAAACAAAATATTAAAAAACTACAAATTCTACAAAATAGATTACTTAAAACAGTAATAAGAGTGGAAAATAGATACTCAACTAGACTTTTGTATGAAAATTTATGTTTGGATACCGTAGTTGAGAGACGTAACAACCATGTTCTATGTATAATGTATAAAATTGCAGACCAATCAACCCCGGATTATCTTTTAAGTAAATTTAATTTTAAATACACTTTCTATAGCTTAAGAAATGCTCCTCGTATATTTACTTTACCAAGAATCAAAACCTGCTTTAAAAATAAAAGTCTAAGTCATTATGGTGCAAAACTATGGAATGAATTACCGGTAGAAACTAAATATAAACAAACTTACTATACTTTCAAAAGCAGTTTATAATATAATATTTGTAATGTCATGTTTGACTTTTAATAGCAAACAAAAACAACTGATTTGTTTTTCTTCTTTAAAAAAAATAATATCCTATTATGTTTGTTTTTTTCTGATCGTACTTTTTTCTAAATTAGGGTTTTTTTTTTCTTTCTCTCGCCTTCTAACCTATTTGTTTATATATATGTGTATGTTTTTATTTAACTTTGTGTGTAAATCATGTTAATCTATATTTATATGTATGTTTCTTTGTAAAATTGTGATTGCTTTTTATATGCACGGCCATGCTGAAGAACAGCCATTGGCTGAAGTATGCTACCGTGCTAAAATAAAATAAACAAACAAACAAACAAACAAATTTTTAACAAAGTTCAACGGGTTTTCGAACGGGCGTCGATGGGAGGCGCTTCTGAATCTAAATTCTCCCAACCATTTTTGAATTTTCCCAACCGTTTTTCAATGAAAAAAAGACATAAAAACAGGCTATAAACAAATCTGTCAACACCTAAATGTCTGGAATGGAATGTAGAGCCATGTTATTGCTTTGTGAGATTTCCATTCACCTAAAATGTAATTAAATTGTAATAATATAGTTTGGAGAATTAAGGAATCGATCGGATCAGTTTTTCCCAATTTGTACCATGAATAATGGTCCGATTTCGCTCAAATTTTCAGATTATCTTTAATTGTACATCTAGCATTGAAGTCTTAGCACCACTATCTCTCATCTGAACAATGTTACAAAGTCCCTTTAAAATTGCGATGATAAATAATCATAAGTCTATTGAAATTGTAATCAAAATGTATATAATTTAATTTCAAGGTCTCCTAAAAATGCTATTGACAAAATACTACTTTTTGTCAAAAGGGCCGCTTTTTTGGACGCCCCTCCGATTTAGGAATGTTCGCTACAAATTAAAAAAAAACATCTCTGAAATATTGTGCATTATGATAAAATCTTTCGAATAAACAAGGTGTGCTTATTTGTGTTGGAGTTGCAGGCAAACTCCTCTTTTCTGACTTTGGCCCTACGCTAAATAGCTATTACTTGATAAATAATTATGACTGTGATATGCGCTCTAGTATACAAGAAATAAATATTGTTACAGGGTAAACTTGCATTTAGTTCATTATTTTTAGTGCATGGATACGGTTATACAGGGAAATTTGCTTCAGAATTTACCTATATAACCGTATCCATGCACTACTTATGAGAGTTTGGCCAACCTGGTTCGAGTTATGCACAATATGGCATTATATGGCAAATACTGATTTGATTTTATTTGATTTGAATTTATTTTCTTCTGCATTCATATAAGCATACAATTTTACAATAATAATATAAAGTACACTAAGTATTTTTCTGACAATTAATCATAAATAAGCAAATACATATAAATATAAATTGTTATTTTCAAAAACGAAATGATAAACTGTCATAAATACTAAATTTCCTCAAACATTATAACATTATTTGCGGAAAAAGGACTGTCATTGTAAGCAAATTGCTTGATAATACGACAGCCCAAGACAAAACTCATGCGGTCATGGATGATCTACTAGCAACTCCACTTTCTTAGACAAAATTCAGCTAATTATCAAATCCATGGTAAAAACAGTTGTGGATGCAACGTATCAACGACTAATGGACTACAGTGAGAAGAATCGAGGGTCAATTCACGACTTGAAAGTTAATATGGAAGAGGCTGAGAAGGATATTAAGAAGCTGCACAATTTGGTTGAATCACAGTAGGAACAGCTTGATATACTGAAGAGAACCAACAACGATCTAGAGCAGTACTCTCGCCGCAACTGTGAGGATCGTTGGCATACCCGAACATCGTGGTGAAGATCCAGATCAACTTGTCATCAACGTTTTTTTTCAGGAAGCATCTAAATCTCGACATCTCCGTAGCCAACATCGAAAGATGCCATCGCGTAGGAAAGATGGCTTCGGACAAGCATCGTGCTTTCATAGTTAAGTTTTGTAGCTATCGCGTAAGGAGGCAGGTCATTGCATCACGTAGGAAGTTAAAAGGAACTAAAATATCTATCCAAGAAGATCTCACAGTGAGAAATCAAGCTCTCTATCAAAAAGTGTACAAATCTGTGAAATTGATTCCTTCTTTGGAGAGCACATGGACCAGTGATGGCAGGATCTTTGCGTAAGTCAAAGCGACAGGTGGAAAAGTAACCTCAATTATCATCTCATCAGAAACAGATCTTGCCCGCCTGAAGAAGTGATTTTTCTCACTTATTGACTCTTGTCCTTATCTTTATCTCTGCCATTATATATTATACATGTACATGTAACTCGTACCATTTAGATATTTCCTGGCAACAATTAATAAACTTGGAGAACTATTAATGCGCAATATTCTATTGTCTTTCGAGACAGACAGATGCCGAGAGAGATTGTATTTTCTTTGTCCCCTTTTTGTTTTTTTTGTGTGTACATTTTTAGGATCATCTACTTATAAGTTTTTGTAACTTTTTTGATGATCCAACCACTTCGTAATTTCCTTTAGTGTATTTTCCATTTTAGTGGTTTATCTATGTTTGCAAGAAACTATTGTATTCTTTGCCTTTGTATGTTTTTATGAAAGTGGTGAATAAATTCAATTCAATTCAATATATTAACACATTTATTAAGCAGAAACGGTTAGGCACTTGAAAATACAAATTTTGACGAAGGTGATATTGACAATGCAGATGATGATGATAATGATGATGATGATGACGATGATGACAATGAATGAAATGAAGGAAGAGATGACATGATAAAGAATGAAGAGTTGACACAGAAATTTTACATTGAGTATTCAGATAATGACATTTGTTGGGCAAGCACAAATGATTACGCGCCATGTTATACCCGATTGAAACCAAATTGGCCAAAACTCTGTGAATAGATGGGTTTGGTCATATCCATATTAGAGCATAACATCGTGTTCAATTTCTTTAACCCCACCCCCAACACCCTTTATAGCTTCATTCTTACTTTCTAGATGATCCTTCTGATTTCAAAATCTTCTTTTTGATGAGCTCGTCTCGATGATCGTGAAACCAGTCAAGAAGGGGGCTCATCGACGTCGGTACAATACCAGATGGCTTTCTATCCGTGTATTGTCTAAGCCCCTGCGAGAGATCGAAATTAGGCTCATCGTCAGGTTCGATTAGGAAACGACGTTGACTCAAATCGTTTCGATATTTCTTGTTCTCGCCAATCGAGAAGTTCCCAAGTACCTCACAGTGGTTGCTTAAAGCTGTACTACTAGCCATTTTCCCGTCGAGATAAATACAAAAATTACTTGAGATGGTCGATACAGGGCCTGATCTGCGTAATTTACTTGTATAAACTAGTGTTGAAAACAATTTGTATGGGCGTATCTCTAAAATGCATTTCATACCATATAAGGACTTACAATGGTTAGAGTTTTGCATGTATTCTCTGATATAGATGTTTGCTGTAAACGCTTTTAACTGTCTTCTCGCAAAACACGTAAAAGTGCCAAACAAAAGCATTACAAATTTTATATATGTAATTATCATGTCGGGTCATCATTCTCGCTATTCTCATATAGTTTGATATATTTCGTAAATTTTCAGTTGCTTGAATGTATATGTATTCGATTTATTCTCTTATTATATAATTCATTGATATTCGTTAGCTTTGAAGTAGGCTATACCTTAACATTGAGTGTCATGACCGGGGAATTCCACATACCTTAATATTACCATATAAGGACTTACAATGGTTAGAGTTTTGCATGTGTCACGGGAAGTGATATGTTGATGTCATTTCCTAAGTAATTCAAAAGTATTCATATTTTTCTCACCTAAAGATGGCGTAAGACCTGGAAAATAGCGGGTAGCCAATTGATTTTAGCGCGAGATTTGAATTTTTGTTTACTTTTGATAGGCAAATGAACAACGCCCCAAATAATGATGCCACGTAGTATTGTGAGTTGATACGAAAATTAGCGATCGTGTTAATGATCAATTTTCGTTTTTGTTTCTGTTAGATAGATAGATAGATAGATAATGGTTTTATTGAGATTAAAAAAAAAACAATGCATCGCGGCCTACAAGGCCGAATTGGGCAATGTTTTACAAATTTAAATACAGTATATAAAAACATTCATATCAAATAACCTCAAATTCATGAACTAAACTTAAATGAGTAGAATGTTAAAAAAAAAAAAAAAAAAGGAGATAAAGAGAAGTGAAGAAGAACATGATGGTGGTGTAGAGTAAAGAAAGCAAAGAAAAAAAGGATGGTACGATTAAGAAGAGGATGAAGAGGAAGGAGAAGAGAGAAAGTAGAAGAGAAGGAAGAAGAAGAAGAAGATTCAAGTAGGGATAGTAAGATGATAGACAGAGGGTAGTGCGAATAGTAACACTATCATAATGTATCGATATCAATATTCAAGCATTACACATTATACAAACTACTAATGATATAGGCGAAGTTATGAAGAAAATAAATACTATATGAAAAATTGTACGAATTAAAAAAAAAAAATTACTCTAGGTAATAGCTTCTCTAAGAAAAAGGTTATAACATTTCAACCAGACTATAACAAAGGAGAACCATTATAAGAAGCAAAAGCAAAAGGAGAAAGAGGGAGAAGAGGATTGAGAAGTAAGGATAAGGGTGAGATGAAGAAAGGAGGTGGGAAAGTAAAAGTGGTAGAGGAAGAGGAGACAACTGTAACATTGGCCATGGAAGATAATTCCAGTCATTTAAACAATTTAAAATAAATGGTTAAACACACATTTTTAACTTCGGTACAGAAAATGTAGTGATCTATTATACAGATACAAAGATTAGACCCCAGTATAAATATAAAAATGGTATATGAATATAAATGTATAAAAAACAAAAATTATTTCATACTTTGTGTGTATCAGTAATTGAAACCATAGTTTGCCTTGTATTGCACTTATGGGATTACATCACAACTATAATATTGGTAGTATTACAAAAATAAAAGTAGATTTCTTGTTAACTAGAATTGTAGATGCGTACAAGTGATGGTATGGGGCTGTTTTTTACTCTGTTTGTAAACAGAGCAAAACATGGTTCTTTGGAGCTTCATCTAGAAGCGTGTGGAAGCGTCATGGTATAGTGGTTCTGACTCTCGTCTTTCAATCATAAGGTCGTGAGTTCGATTTCCACTCCAGGACGTTAAAGTGATAAAGTAAGTGTTACGCAGGCTCCCACTTAGCCGAGTTGGAGCCTCGAGTTGTGGCGAGCTGGCGCGAGCTTATGGCAAGCCGTTTTATCATTAAAACATATTTCTTGATATCAATTCTTGATATCAACAATTACCATTGATTTACAACGGAAAATTATTTCTTGCTATCAAGAATTGATTTCTTGATATCAAGAATTGATTTCTTGATATCAAGAGATATGTTTTAATGATAACACGGCTTGCCATAAGCTCGCGGCAGTTCGCCACAACTCGAGGCTCCAACTCGGCTAAGTGGGAGCCCTGCTTTAGGCGCTATATAAGCAAATATAATCAATCCATACTTTCATTATTTGTTCAACTCTTGCCAAGCCAGAATGAAATTGTGTCAAGTTAAATGGTCTACCAGCAAGCAGTTTATGTTATTTCACATTAACATATGTCTTGGACAAGCTGTTTGCAAGGACAGAACCCCGGGCAGAACGTGCGTCCGTAGACCTGAATTTGTGTAACCCACAAGCGGTGGTAAGCTGAATCGTATTTTGTTAATTAAAGGACCCATGACATCGACCTAATCGAGCGTTCGCCTTCGAGGTCAAAGGCTGGGAGATCAGTCGGTCACTGGGCGGCGAGTTCAAAATCGGTCAGCAGCCTTTGACCTAGCGGCTTTGATTGTTGCCCTAAATCGCTCGACGGCGAACCCCGCCCCCCCCCACTCAGTATGCATGCTTGTTCTCTCTTTTTGAAAGCACCCCCTATGTGAGGACTGCCAACATTTCCGAACCCCCCTTTCGCGGGCTTTTCGCGGGCTTTTCGCGGGCTTTTCCTGCCTTGGAGACCCCCGTAAATCCAGAAAAATGCTTAATGTACCCCCCTAAATTCAGAATAATTTCTCAGGAGTCCAAAGAGGTGTGAGAAAAAAGAAAGAACACCCCCTTTTTTAAAGAAATCAAAGGTGAAAAGTCAAATACACCCCTTTTTTTTACAATTCTCGGGCCGGACTTTGTCGCACGAAAAGTACCCCTTTACCGGACATTTTGGTAACACGCATGCGGTCCCTCCGTTCTCGGACGGCGAACGCTCGATTAGGTCGGTGTCTGAGCGGCGAACGCCCGGCCACCGAGCGTATTTTGGCGCCCCGCCGATCAACGGCCGGCTGACGGGCAATTTCCTTAAAATTAGCCAGTGGCCGGTGGGAGACCACTCAGGTATCGGTGGGTCATCGGTCGCGGTCACTGCCGGGACGCCGCCTGGAGAAGCTCTCCGATTTCAGAAGGGTCATACTTCCGAAAGGTCGGTTACTCCCAAGGATCGTAAATGAATAATTACTAGTATTCATGAAAATGAGAATTTTAGTAGACCTTCTCACCAGTCTGATGTACAATATTCAAAGATGAAATTCTAAATTTGTATCAATTGTGATATGACAAGAAGAAGAAGTATAAGAAGAAGAAAAACTGTATGTTTGTTTATTTTCAATATTATTGTACCTCAATCAGTCACTTGATCTTCCCCCGTGGTTTTGACCGGTAGCTACCAGCAAAATTATTCCTGTCTGCTCCCAATAAATCTCACCCCTTTCTCTCTCTCTCTCTCTCTCTTTCGTTCACCTATGTTTGTTCCTCTCACAATCTTCCCCCTCCCTTTCCCACCTCTCTACCCTCCTCCCCTCCCCTTCTCTCCCATTCGTTCTCTCCCCATAGTCTCTTGCTACTAAATAATCTTTACAAATGAACTGACACCCGTGTACATACCATTTAGTAAGCATTGCTATATTTCTGAAATGGAAATGAAATCGTTACCTTATGCCTAGACACAATTTAACAACAACAACAACCACAACAAGGAACATTACGATGAAAGAGATTATATTGAATAAAAAAGATATGGATAAACGAGACTACACAAATAATTGTTTCAATGTGTGACAAGCGAATCGGTCCAAAGATGGGAAAATTTCTAGTATTGTCATTGTTTTGATGACACGATGATCCAATGACCCACTGTATAGGACTCTATGCAATCATGGCCATATATAATTGGCGACTTACAATCAATCGTACAATTCTATCTCCAATCTTATTGCAATTAATCAATTGATTCTTGAAAGGCATTGTATCTATCTGTAACATAATAATGATCGTACTTTACTAATAATTGTAAAGTTACGATTGATAGAAGGAGATATGATTACTTTATGGGGGTTAACGATAAATTTTGGAGAGGTGTAATTGATCGTATTTTTTTTTTTTTTTTTGGGGGGGGGGGGAGAACCCTATCGACTTGAGCACGTGTTTGGTTTTCAAAACAAAATGGCAATTTTACTTTAAATGCAAATATTAGTCGTTAATGTATATGATCTAATAGTCCATTCAATTGAATAACTTTCACCTATACATTTTTAGAGCAAATCTAAGATCCCCTCCATATTGGGGGTCATCAGTTAATTTTTTTGTCTTTCTATTTTTCCTTTTTTTTTTTTTTTTTTACAAATTTGTTTTTTTTACTCATATCATGTTTTTTAAACTTGTTATCTTTATGTTGTATTATGTTATTTGACATTAATTACATCGAGTTAATAAAACGAAGTCTTTGTGGCAGATGTAAGTTTTGTTGTTGTCATATTTAGATCAATATTCAACTTAATTCATATTTACAGTCGGGGTCTGACCACTTGACCGAAAGTCCACAAAACTGAAGATCCGCGAGACCAAATATGAAAAAGGTTCCGCGAGACCGAAGGTCCGTATAAGACCGAACGTGTTAATAATATGCCGCAAGCTATCTATCTGGGCCGAATTTTGGTCGCGTATGTTTGACAAAATAGACTAATTTCATGTCCCGTGCACAAGACAATTGATAAATAATTATAATGACCCTAGTGCACACAGATTCATCATAACAATTTCTTTGTATGCACCCCTTCAGCTGTGGAAATATTGTTGTCATTGATTTTGCTGACGTTTAAAGGTAATACAAAGTTTTGGTATGGGGTATGAATTTTGTTCATATGAACATATTGGAAGCATATGCGATCCTACAATATTCAGGGATCGTTGTCGCGGTTGAAATCGAGTCTAAAGTTATGAAATTGTAAATAATAAAGTTTTTATGTTGTATAGCTCCTCTTAAGGTCAAGATATTAATTAAGCTATAAAACAATGTTTCTTGACTAAAATCGACCAAATAGCTATTTCCGTTTGGAAATTATATATCGCAACTACATATTCTGAGATTTTCATGGTCGCAGCTACCATTGTACGGCCGTAGACGCTATTTGAAATTTAACAAAATTTACCGGGAGCACCGGTAAATGTTTATAATCCATTTTTCTTGAAAGCAAAAGTGTTTTAGGGGCTAAATTTTCTAGTGCTCATAATACATCCACAGGGGCATCCAGATATATCAAAATTGTAAAGCATCACTATCCACCCAATTTACAGATTTCCCGAAACTTTGTATTACCTTTAAGGTGCCATATAAAAGAATGCTCTTTGAAAGAGGTTTTTGTCATCAGACAATCAATAGCTATATGAACTGAGTTTGCTTATATAATAATGACAAATAATAATACTAATAATGATTACAATGATAATAATAATGATAATAAGAACATTAACACCAATAATAATAATGTTGTTTACCCAGGGAGGCCTCATCAGCATCATGAAGCTTATGCATTTATTATTACTCCAACAAGTACCAGCTGGTATACCCAATTACCCCAACAAGTACCAGCTGGTATACCCAATTACACCTGGGTTAAGAGTGGCAAATGTAGCTTGCCGGAGGACGTTATAGTGCCGGGCTCCATCAAAATATAATGGTTTAAATACAGGTTTATATGTTTTTATTAATAATTGTGGAAGTAATTTGTGTTTTAATGTATCAATAGCACTGCGTCAATTCTCTGGTCGTGCTATTAACCTATAGTAATCTCTATTCTGCGACCTGTTGCGAACTATTCAAATAATGCGAATATCATGCCCTTCCAATATTCGACTATCAAAATTTTTTAAATTGAGGTTTGAAGTTGGGGACACCGAAACCGTTACATATCTACCTGGAAATCGTCTGGATGGTGTACAAGAATAGTAGAATGGTGTAATGGGAAAGCCTCAACGGCTCAACCAAAGTTCTACACCCTAGCAAAGTACATGTATGTCGATCGTATAACTGCGCACATTATTATGTTTTTCGGTCTCACGGTCCTCCGGTCAACTGGGCTGTAATGTAATCGTTAAGGTATGAAATATAAAATCCTTCATCCTAGTATTGTATGTCAGATCATGCTACAAATAATATTGATGTTATTATGTCCATTCAAATGCAGCCCGTATTTAAATCAGAGATAAACCTTCGCAATAATATAATTAATTCCAATAATCGCAGAGGGTACTTTATTTTCAGCATTTGCATTGGCTATGAATTAAAAAAAGTATTCGATACATTCTCCCATTTCTGATAGAAACAAATAATGAAACTTTGTCTAGTGAACCTTCACCGATCTATGCATATAGTTTACTATACAAAAGGAATTATATTCACACCATCCGTAGGGCGATAAAATGATTACTTTGAATACAAGTGAAGCAAAAAGCAGGGTTTTCTTAACATTTCATAAAGTCAAGAGTTAATATATAAATACAAGTAAAGCGGATTATTGATATTCCCATAAAACCAAGCATAATATAAGATGCTCATAAAACAAGTGATTCTCCGGCTTAATTCCTCTATATTTATATGAAAATCAGCACATATACCTTCCAAAACATCTACAACTTACATATTGTATAAGACCTAACAGCTTATCCTCTTTTTTCTAATTTTTCAGGCATATTGACAGAGACAATGCGGGAAATACAAGTCAACATTATCATTACCATTTTTATAATTATCATTTTACATTATTTACTATTGTTGTTTTCTGATGCGGCAGATTATAATGGCACATGAAATATATATGTCGAGCTTTGGTCAGTCGTTTGTAACACCGACCATGGCTATAGACATGATGGCGGCCATTTTTTTGTCTACTAGTAGTCCTTCATGTAACACCGACCATGGCTATAGACATGATGGCGGCCATTTTGTTTTATCTACTAGTAGTCCTTCATATAACACCGACCATGGCTATATGATGGCGGCCATTTTGTTTTATCTACTAGTAGTCCTTCGTGTAACACCGACCATGGCTATAGACATGATGGCGGCCATTTTGTTTTGTCTACTAGTAGTCTTTCAGGTCCAAGACATCTTTAAGATATTGATCTGGAAGGATGACGTAATCATCTTCTTTTCGTCCAAGAAGACGGAATCTTCTGGATCGTAGTTTGTCCTTCAAACCTCCTCCCCTCTCGATCTCAGGCAACTGAAGACGATATACGGCACTGTATGAGAGAGAAAATGTTCATTGTCTAACTAACTCGAAATCTTCATGTTGAAAGGTGTGGTGAATTGACTCGATACTAAAGTCAGTTTCGATATATGCACTGACTTGTAAATTTGATTTCGATTCAAAGGCAAAAGAGTTGAAAGTGCTAAATTGTCTGGAAACCAAATAGCAATACTGTGTTAAAATTACCCAATTTATTTTTTCAGGCTCGTCTTTGAGTTTAGAAATATAGCAACATACTGTAGATGCATACTTGCAAGCGCCTGAAAACGAATTTCTTTCAATAGAGTAGCTAGAGGCGAACCATATGGTAATTATCAGGCAACTTTTCCACAATTATGTTTTCTTTTAGCTAAGATATGTTCACATATCATATTCAATTCAATTTCAGTTTAATTCAATTTAATTTAAATTTAATTCAATTTATTTCAACCATAGAAATCCATATACAATCATTCATGGAAATATAAAAACATGGGGTTAGGAGCCCCTAAATAAGTTTGAATACGAACAAAAACAACATTATAGGGAAAACAATTATATACAAGAAAGAGATTTAAAAAGCCTATATGAGCATAAAACATTTACAGAAAAGCACCAGCCATAATATGAGCACACATAGGACACGGTGTCAAGTGACACTGCGTCCCTATGCGTCCTAAGCCGGTGCTTTACAGTATAACAAAACATTACAAATTATTCATTATTTAATTGGGCGTGATGTTTTTTATTCTGCTGTCATTCATATTACTATCTTTATCATCGTGAAATGCTGCATAAATGGGTAGTATTAACTTCAAAGTGTAAATATTTATGAGTTAAGCTCGAGGTAGTTCAGAATATCAAGATAACACATGGTTATGAAATAACACAAATCCGTTAAATGTTTTAGTAGTGTAATTGCAAATGCAATATCATTAAAATAATGTCAATGTTAAGAGTCATACTTAAGATTGAACTTAATACATGTATCAAGATGTAAATAGGGATGGATGATGCGTACCGTGGATCGTCATCTTTAACCAGTTTCTTGATTTCTGAGAGATAAGACTCAAACTTCTTCTGACACAGCATGGGGTCCCAAAATCCCTACAAACAAAAGAATAATTCGATTGATCAAAACGGGTACATCGATTCTATGTATAAAATATCACATAACAATATATGTATGATTTTAAACGAATTGACGATGATGGCGTCGCGTCGGTAAGACATCCGGTAACCATGGTAACCCATGGAAAGCTAACTATAACCAAGAGACCTGTCCGAATCAGCGTGTGCTTCATATACCTATATTTGGACTACCGATTTAATTCGTATTCTGACAGCAGTATTTGCATTTAATTAGATACTTAGTTATAAACCAAACATGGCATTTTGGGGATGCAGCAAAAGTTGAAAAAAAAAAACCGTAAAAAACCGGTTCTATTCAGAATGAAGACGATCGTCCAAGCTACCCCTTTTATCTCTTTCCTTCTTTCTCTTCTCTTCCTTACATACTGAGAATATGTATTTCACTTTTTGTTTTCTCTCTCTCTAGACTAGTCTATACAAGAAACCTTATTATACTTAAATGGCAAAATACACAGATGCATTATACCATTATTCTTTTTAAACAATCATTGTTTGCATATTACATTAATTTTAGATGATTATAGTTCTAGTAATACTTGATTTTCTGTTCTTGTTTACTTAGTCTTAATTCCTTGTACTTCATGCTTTTAGTAATTTTCGCAGTTCGACTTTTAGTCGCGACGGATTTATCTTACAATACTTTGATATACTATTATTAGTATTTGCATTTTACATAAAAGACTTTCTTTTGAATATAATTGAACCAACGACTGACCTATTCAGAAGTTTGGGTTTAAAGATGCTCATGCGTGGGTATAGTCGTTCGTGAAGTAGGCAATTAAAGGGACACTAGTGCGTACGTCTGTGTGCTGCCCTCTATATACACACGCATGAGCAACTTTAAGATATCAACATATTCATTACATTAATGATATTGGTGCTATACTGCAAAAAGTTTGATAAAGATTGCAGGCCCGTAAGTGCCGTAACAAAGATATTAGTGGGGGGGGGGGGGGGGGTGCAGGCATTATATGAAGTGGACCCCTAAGGGGCCTGGATTACCAATAACTGGGGATGGAAATCCAAAGAAAGGAAAAGAGGAAGGATGAGAAGCCTTACCTCTGATTTCGAAGACAGCTGATTGGTCTTCATGGTCTCGACTGATGTTATGATATGCCTTCTATCATTTCTCATACCACATATCACTTCAGGGATGCCAGCCATGTAGGCCTGTGACCACCACTGTAAAGTCTTGTACCTGCATGAAGACAAAAGAACATAAAGATGAACCTGGTCGTAACCCTCTCCTTCTCCTTTTAATGAAGGACCACGACTATATCACCACAACGCAAAACTGCGACATTAATTCATCGCCTAGGACAGGGACGGGGAGGCGGCTTCCAAAGTTGGGGAGGGGAGGGGGGGGGCATCGAAAAGGGGCACTTAAAATAATAATGATAATAATAATGAATACTTAAAAAGCGCATTTATATAATAACTTACTCAAGACGCTATAAAAACAAAATACACGAATCTCTCTCCAGAATTTGAACAACATAATTTAATGTTTCTGAAAGGTTTATCCGGAGCAAGCTGAAAGTCACTTGGCAGCGCCTTCCAGAGGACTGGTTTGCGCAACATACACAAATGCACATGTTCAACTTGTTGTCAAGAAGGAGCACTTCTTACAAAGTAATAGGGGCTCTTGTCAAAGAAAAAGGGGCATTTTTCCAATGTAAAAATAGGCATGTCTTACAAAACAAAAGGGGCACTTTTGAGGTAGGCCTATTTGAAGAAGTGTGGCGCACAGTGCCCCCTGCCCCCTGCCCCGGGGGAGCACCGCCTCTGTGAATTGATTATGCATACGATTCTACCGTAGCGTCATGTGATAAATTAAATATCAAACCATGGAACTATCAAACTAAGGAAACCATTCCTCCATCAGGACAATGTAATAACGACTCGTAAAATTTCATACACACCGATGCAGCCTTGCAGCATACAAGCCCAAACCTATAATATTTCTATATACACAAACGTGGGAATTCCCACATTTCAGATTGCGCAATACGGGCGGCCGAGCGTAATAACTATGGTCATAGAGCTTGCACACCTCACAAGTCCCCCCCCCCCCCCCCCAAGCGCGACGTGTTTCCACATAGATTGATTGGTTACTTTTATTCAGATTTCATGCACAAATAGAAGTAAAGCGAATAAGAGAATTAGTAGTACTCCAGAGTCAAAAAAAGTTTAGACCTAGAAATTGCTAATTATTTTAAAAACAGTAAATGTTTATACATAGTATGAAAAATTGTTTTATCCCAAATCATTTGGTATCATTTTTGTGTGATATGTGTTCACGCTTGGATAGACAGGAGGCATTGTTTGCGAGAGTGCAAAAATTGATTTGCGCCAAACTTGCTAGTGTGATGTTTGAATAAAACAATAGGGATTTGGATATTAATTCGGTCTTTGCAGATCCAAATAACAAAATTAATCATGCCACACGTATCAAATATCAAATATCGACGAACATTTGTGCGTGTGCGTGTGTGTGTGTGTGACTTTGCTTCTGCAAAAAGCATATGCAATGCATTTCATTTGATACATTCAATGCATTCTCTCACTCCGCTAATCCCAACATAATACATGCTGTAGGCATCACTTTGGCGCAAGTCGATTTTTGCACTCTCGCAAACAATGCCTCATGTTCATCCAAGTGTGAACACATACCACACAAAAATGATACCAAATGATTTGGAATAAAACACTCTTTCATAAGATGTATAATAATTTACTGTTCATAGAATATGTTTTAAATAAATAGCAATTTTCTAGGTGTAATTTTTTTTTTTGACTCACACGGTATATGGAGTACTGAGATGTGTCACAGAACTAGCAAGCATTATCAGTCTGCACTAATCATATAGCACTAGTAAACTTACAACAATTATTCTAAATTCCTCTTGCTGGAATCTCGTCTACACATACATGCACATAGAGTTTATATTCTATCTAAATAACAACCAATAGTTTACTAAATATATTCTCGGAGTGAAAGAGAACTGATAAACAATACAGAGAGAGGAAGAGAGAGAGAGAGAGGGGGAGAGAGAAAGAGAGAGGGAGAGAGAGAGAGAGAGAGAGAGAGGGGGGGGCGAGAAAGAGAGAGTGAGAGGGAGGGAGAAGGATACATGGACACGAAATACAATTAGAGAGAGTCATGGTAGCAAGAGCTTTATGTTGTCACCTTTTGAAATTTGTCAGGGGTTTCCCTTCGAGATCATGCTTTCTGGTTTTGATGCAGACATAGTTTTCTGGAGATGTCTGATTCGAGTCCTTTCGTTCTGCCTGAACTTCGGTGCTGAGAATGATACGGTGATTGCCATACTGTGTCTTCATCACCGCTACATACTCAGCGTAAGCATTCACTGGTTCGTCGAGGTCAGGCTTGCTGCTCCCGTCAGCTTTAAAGTTGAAAATTGTTTTCAAGTGAATATAAAGTATTAGTACAAAAAAGTATTTAAAAGTCGAAACATAATTATATCTGTTCATTTTTGCTTATTCTATGTTAATTAAAAAGGGTAATCCCTTAAGTACATTAAACTGCTCTGTTAGAGAGCTTTGTTTACATAATTAAAATCCAAAGAAAAACAATAAAAAAATTACTATACTGTAAAGTAAAATATTGCAATACATAGCTGCAACAAAAGAACAAAAATATGAAACGATAGTAGAAACACGTATTAGCCTTTTGATCACGTCTTTATTACACATTTCAATTAAAATAAACTATAATTTATTTATAAAAAAATACCGAAAAGATAAGTAATTTGTATAACTAAAGCCTCGGCGGATCCAGGAAGGGGGACGGGGCATGACCCACACCCGCAAAACCCAATCTGGTATACTCTTATTACAACTTAAAGGAAATAAATGAGTGCACGTATTGTGTTCGTGTACTCCACTCTCGACACAATTTGTGTTTTGTAGATGGCAGCTAGGAAACGTAACAACCATTATAGCGGTTAGTTGTCAGAGACTCTTAATAAACAACTTTGCTCCACCCCCTTAAGAGAATATTCGAGATCTGCAGCTGTCACTGGCTTGGTTCTAGGAGGGGATCGAGGGGGTTTACGGGGGCGTATATAGGCAATCTTGAATCGCTTAGAATCGTTTATGGGGAGCTTGAATCCCAAGCTTCTCTCCTGAACCAGTACTTGAATTCATTTTTTTCATTTGGTATATATAGCATATCAATTCTCCGTCGAGGTGCTGTGATGATAGCATGATTATGCGGGATAGAACCAGAGAATACAGAAAGATAGACAGAAAAAAGATGTAACAAACAAGAACTTACGACTTGTGATGCACTGAGCAAACTTCTTGCCACCAAATCCCATCTCTATTTGCCGCGCAGTTTCCTCATAAGTATCCTTAACGTTCTCGATATAGTAGGTTCCATTGCAGAGTGTTACAAGGATTTCAAGCTTGTCCAGGCTAGCCACTGCACGAAGAAGACGACAGAAAAATCCTCTGCGACCTACGAAATCGATGTCGAGCCTAAAAATTATATAATTTGACAAAAAGATTGAAGGAGTCATAATGCGTAATAAGTTTTACATACGAAAATGAATGAATCAATATAAATGGCTTCGATTAAATGAAAGTTTCAGATCCCGTAAGTGTATATTTACACCTTAAACATTTAAAAAAAAATTGACAAAATCACCCCCCCCCCCCAAAAAAAAAAAAAAAAAAAAAAAATTCAACCAAAAAAAAAATATCATGTTTTTTACTTAAAATTGCGATGATAAATAGACATAAGTCTGTTGAAATTGTAATAAAAATGTATATTATTTAATTTCAAGGTCTCCTAAAAATGTTATTTACAAAATACTACTTTTTGTCAAAAGGGCCGCTTTTTTGGACGCCCCTCCGATTTAGGGATGTTCGCTACAAATTAAAAAAAACACCTCTGAAATATTGTGCAATATGATAAAATCTTTCAAATAAACAAGGTGTGCTTTTTTGTGTTGGAGTTGCAGGCAAACTCCTCTTTTCTGACTTTGGCCCTACGCTAAATAGCTATTACTTGATAAATAATTATGACTGTGATATGCGCTCTAGTATACAAGAAATAAATATTGTTACAGGGTAAACTTGCATTTAGTTCATTATTTTTAGTGCATGGATACGGATATATAGGCAAATTTGCTTCAGAATTTACCTAATATATAACCGTATCCATGCACTACTTATGACAGGTTGGCCAACCTGGTTCGAGTTATGCACAATATGGCATTATATGGCGAATACTGATTTTATTTTATTTGATTTGAATTTATTTTCTTCTGCATTCATATAAGCATACAATTTTACAATAATAATATAAAGTACAATAAGTATTTTTCTGACAATGAATCATAAATTGCTTGATAATACGACAGCCCCAGACAAAACTCATGCAATATACTAACACATTTATTAAGCAGAAACGGATAGGCACTTGAAAATACAAATTTTGATGAAGGTGATATTGACAATGCAGATGATGATGAAGATGATGGTGATAATGATGATGATGATGACGATGATGACAATGAATGAAATGAAGGAAGAGATGACATGATAACGAATGAAGAGTTGACACAGAAATTTTACATTGAGTATTCAGATAATGTTGGGCAAGCACAAATAATTACGCGCCATGTTATACCCGATTGAAACCAAATTGGCCAAACTCTGTGAATAGATGGGTTTGGTCATATCCAAATTAAAGTATAACGTCATGTCCAATTTCTTTAACCCCACCACATTCATTTACCATTACCAACACCGTGTATAGCTTCATTCTTACTTTCTAGATGATCCTTCTGATTTTAAAACTTTCTTTTTGATGAGCTCGTCTCGATGATCATGAAACCAGTCCAGAACGGGGCTCATCGACGTCGGTACAATTCCAGATGGCTTTCTATCCGTGTATTGTCTAAGCCCCTGCAAGAGATCGAAATTAGGCTGGTCATCGTCAGGTTCGATTAGGAAGCGACGTTGACTCAAATCGTTTCGATATTTCTTGTCCTCGCCAATCGAGAAGTTCCCAAGTACCTCGTACTGGTTGCTTATAGCTGTACGGCTAGCCATGTTCCCGTCGAGATAAACACGAACAAATACTTGAGATGGTCGATACAGGGCCCGATCTTCGTAATTTACAGGTATAAACTAGCGTTGAATACAATCTGTATGGGCGTATCCGTAAAATGCATATGATACCATATAAGGACTTATAGTGGTTAGAGTTTTGCATGTATTCTCAAATATAGATGTTTGCTGTATAAACGCTATTAACCGTCTTCTCGCAAAACATGTAAAGGTGTCCAAAAATCATTACAAGTCTTTCGTATGTAATTATCACGTCGGTCATCACTCTTGCCATCTCACATGGTTTAATATATTTCGTAAATTTTAAGTAGCTTGAATGTACATGCATTCGATTTATGTTCTTATTATGTCACTGATATTCAGTATCCTTGAAGAAGGCTAGACTTTTATATTGTATGTCATGACCGGGGAATTCCACATACTTATATACCTTGATATCACTAGGCTATTAATATTTTGTGTCATGACTGGGGAATTCCACATATAAAAAATAACATTACTTAGCAATACATAATTTACAAAACATCAAGATAAAAAAGGGAAGATATGAAAATAGAGAAAAGAAGGAGGACACATCACATGAACAATTGACATTATAATTTTTAGAATTTTTCAATTAGAAATTGCTCGTATAGTCGTTTTTGAATTAGTTGATTGTATTAATATTCTTAATCAATCAATAATGGTAAATTGCAAATATGAAAATGAGACTTACAGATGTCAAATAAAAATGAAATTCCACCGTATACCTTTCGGTAATTAGCCGACAGAAGAATTCAGTTCTAGAGATTGAAAATGTAGGAATAGAGTTGGCATTGTTGAATAGAAGGCATGAGGGGGGAGAGAGAGAGGGGGAGAGAGAAAGAGAGAGAGAGAGAGAGAGAGAGAGAGAGAGATAGGTAGGTAGAGGGGGCGAGGGGAGGGGAGGCAAATCTTCTGTGATCAAGTCATTGCATCCGTATTTGTTTCGTTGGGTAGATATGCAAAGAGGAAAAAGAAGAAGAAGGAGAAGAATAATAATGATAAGAAAAACTTTCTGTTTGTTTAATTTCAATTGCCCCTCAATCAGGCACTAGTATCTTCCCCCGTGGTTTTTACCGGTAAGCTACCTGCAAAATTATTCCTTTCTGATCCCAATAAATCTTCCCTCTCTCCACCCCCTCTCTCTCTCTCTCTCTCTCATTCTCCCTGTATCCCCCTTTCTTTCTTCCTCTCCCTCTCCCACATCTCTACCCTCCTCCCCTCCCCTTCCCCCTTCTCTCCTATTCCTTCTCTCCCCCTAGTCTCTTGTTAATAATACAATCTTTACAAAATGAACTGACACGCGTGTTAATACCATTTAGCTAGCATGGCTCTATTTCTGAAATGGAAATGAAACCGTTAAACATTTATAGTGTATTGAACAATGATTTAAGACTTTTAGTTTGCCTTACTCTACGTGCTATAAACACATTCACCCTGTGTCTAGACACAATTTAACAACAACAGCAACAAGAAACATTACGATGAAAGAGATTATATTGGCTATAAAAAAAAGGTCGCGATATAACTAGTCAAACAAATAAAGACTGGGGGTATTGGTAAACGGGACTAAACAATTATGTGACAAGACAATCGGTCGAAAGATGACAATATTTATAGTATTATCATTGATTTGATGACCCAATGACCCACTGTAGGACTTTATGCAATCATGGCTATATGTGACATAAATATTATTGGCGACTTAAAATGGCAATCATACAATTCTATTATCTCCAATCTTATTGCAATTAATCAATTGATTCTTGAAAGGCATTGTATCTTTCTGTAACATAATAACGATCGTACGTTACTAATAATTGTAAAGTTACGATTGATAGAAGGAGATATGAAAACTTTATGGAGGATTTACGTTTAGTTTTGGAGATATAATAATACAATTGCCTTTGACCGTAACTTGTTTACGTTACGGAGCCCCATTGACTTGCGCACGTGTTCGGTTTTCAAAACAAAATTGCGATTTTTCTTGAAATACCAATGACAGTCGCTTATGTATATGATCAAATAGTCCATTCAATCGAATCACTTTGACCCATGATTTTTTAGAATTTTTTTTTGAGATTTCCCCCCTTTTTGGTCAATAGCATTTCTCCCCCCCCCCCCCTTTTTTAAACAAATTTTTTTTCTTACTTTTAAGACAATACTTTACAAAATCTTCTGGTTTAAATACAAGTCCAAGATAAAATGTTTTCATTAATTGTGCAATGAATTTTATAAAATGTATTAATGGCACTGTGTTAAGTCGTTTGTCATGCTACTGACCGAGTAATAGATAAACCTTCGCAATAATATAATTTATTCCAATAATCGCAAAGGTTATTTTGACTTCAGCATTTGCATTGGCTTTAAAAACAAAAAGGCATTTCGTTAAGATTATGTTCTCCCATTTCTGATAGAAATAAGTAATGAAATATATTTTTTGTTAGAATGCAAATGACTTGTACTTTATCTTGTGAATTTACACCGATCTATGCATATATTATACAAAAGGAATATTCACACCCTCTAAGAGCGATAAAATCATTACTATAAAAACAAATGAAGCGAAGAGCATAGTTTTCCTAACATTTCATAAAGTCAATAGTTTATATAAAAATATAAGTAAAGTAGATTATTGATATCCCCATAAAACCAAGCATATAAAGTTGCTCAAAAAAAGAGATTCTGCGGCTTTATTCCTCTATATTGATATTAAAATTATTCAGCACATATACCTTCCTAAAACATATACAATTATTGTATAAGACCTAACAACTAACCCTCTATTTCTAATTGATTTTGTCTGTGCATCAGGAAATACAAGTCAATATTATTACCATTCTTATAATTATCATTAACACTATTTACTCTAGTTTTTTCTGATGTCGCACATAATAATGGCACATGAAATATATATGTCGAGCATTGGTCAGTCGTTTGTAACACTGACCATGGCTATAGACATGACGGCGGCCATTTTGTTTTGTCTACTAGTACTCCTTCAGGTCCAAGACATCTTTAAGATATCGATCTGGAAGGATGACGTAATCATCTTCTTTTCGTCCAAGAAGAAGGAATCTTCTGGATCGTAGTTTGTCCTTCAAACCTCGTCCCCCCTCGATCTCAGGCAACTGAAGACGATACACGGCACTGTATAAGGAAGAAAATGTTCATTGTCTAACTAACTCGAAATGTTCCTGTGGAATGGTGTGGTGAAATGACTCAATGCTCTATAAACATATGCACTGACTTGTAATTTTGATTTAGATTCTAAGGCAAGAGAGTTGATAGTGCTAAAATGTCTGGAAGTATGTTGTCAGACTGGTATTAAGATAAACCAATTAGTAATACTGTGTCAAAACTACCAAATTTATTTTCTCAGACTCGTCTTTGATTTTAGAAATATAGCAACATACTGTAAATGCATAATTGCAAGCGCCTGAAAACGTATTCCTTTCTATAGAGTAGCTGGAGGTGAACAATATAGTAACTTTTAGACACCTTTTCCGCAAATTATTTTCTAGCTAATATCTGTTCACGAATTATATTAGCATGGCTATCATTCATATTGCTATTCGCCAACATGTAGAAAGTCTGCATAAATTAGCTGGTTATTAACTTGACTTCAAAGTGTAAATATAAATAAGGTAAGCTCAAGGGTCTTCAAAATATCAAAATAAGACATTGTTATAACTTAACACGAATGTTTTAGTAATTTAATTGCAAATGCAATAGCAAAGTACTTCTTTATTCTGTTCCTATAGAAATTAAAATAATTCTAAGTTCAAGATGTAAATAGTGATGGATGATGTATGCGTACCGTGGATCATCTTTTTTAACCAGTTGCTTGATTTCTGAGAGATAAGACTCAAACTTCTTCTGACACAGCATGGGGTCCCAAAACCCCTATAAACAAAACAAATCGGTAATTGATTAAAATTAGTACATCGATTCTATGTATACATTTCACATAACAATATATGTAAAATCCTATAAAGACGAAGAAAAAAAAGGCGAGTTTGTAATTCTAATACTAACAATAGTGTCAACTTATCAAGCGCTCATATCCATTCTAAAAGACTGCTGAAGGCCTCTGTACCATATCAAAATAATTGTATAACATTAAAACGACAACATAAAGAAATGGTGCTTATTAAGTTTCTTCTTAAATAGTTCAATCGATGATGATTGTCTCAAATGTAATGATAAAGCGTTCCATAATTTGGGTGCAATATACGCAGAAGCCCTGGCCCCCATTTTTGCATCTTCTGTCTGTAGATCAAGTTTTAGATACAATTTTGAACATCGAAACGGTTTCACTAATAAATGTGTCCGACCTATGTTGTATGTTGTTTGCATTGTTGCGTTGTTCCTTATCGTTTTTTTTCCTTTCTAGCGGACCTCTTGTCTTGTCGGGGGGGGGGGGTGCACACGCACCCCTCTTTGTTTCAAGCCTGGATTACCAATAAATGGAGGCGGAAATGTAAAGAAGAGGAAAAAGAGGAAGTGAGAAGCCTTACCATTGATTTCAAAGACAGCTCATTGGTCTTCATGGTCTCGACTGATGTTATGATATGCCTTCTATCATCTCTCCTACCACATATCACTTCAGGGACGCCAGTCATGTAGGCCTGCGACCACCATTGTAACGTCTTGTACCTGCATGAAGACAAGAAACCATTTTGGTAAAACTTCCACCCAATTGAACCTCCAGTTGAAAAACGCCTCTGACGTACCCAGCATACGGTGAACATGGACGTACCCCCCCCCCCCCCATCGTCTCATTTTTCATTTTAGTGAAGGACCAGCTCAGTATCACCACAACGCGAAACTGCTACATGCATTCAGCCATCGCCTAGGGAGGTTCCGCTCCTATTATCATGTGTAAATATCATATACTATAATTTCTGTATACGACCTGCGCCATCATACCTTATAAAGGATTAGTATTTGCCCTGTTGATCATGATAATCGATTCGATTATGGAGACATTTAATTTGGTATTTAAAGCTTATCTGCATTAGTTTGGCCAGGTGGGATTAGACCTCCCTACATGGTCACTGACAGGTGGTTGTTTCACCAAATCAGCTCTCACTTAACATTAGAAGAAGGGGACCATGTGCATGGGACTAACGGGTACAGCTTAGGCATTGTTGTCTGTATAGAGGACGCAAGTAACTACACGCAGTGCAGTCCTGCTTCAAAAAAATAAACCCGTTCTCCTAACTTCCATGGAATAATTTACTCCAGTTGGTAATTAGAAAAATTGTACACGTCACATTCTTCATTTATTTTCTATAATACGTAGTTGAGTAGTAAAATGTAAAACAACGTAAAATAAACCTCCACTATTGAACTTATTTTCTGGGGAAGAAATGGAAAATAATAGACAAAGAGATGGTTAGAGAGAGAGAGAGGGACAAGGAGGAAGAAGGGGGGGGGGAGGGAGACATGGACACAAAATATTATTATATTTATATACAGAGAGTCAATATAGCAAGAGCGATATTTTGTCACCTGTTGAAATTTGCCAGGGGTTTCCCTTCGAGATCATGCTTTCTGGTTTTGATGCAGACATAGTTTTCTGGAGGTGCCTTAGTCGAGTCCTTTCGTTCTGCCTGGACTTCGGTGCTGAGAATGATACGGTGATTGCCATACTGTTTCTTCATCACCGCTACATACTCGGCGTATGCACTCACTGGTTCGTCGAGGTCTGGCTTGCTCCCATCAGCTTAAAGAGAGAAAGAAAAAAAACAAGAGTGTTTGGAAGTTGGTGTTTGCTTTCAGGTGAATACGAAGTATTAGTTTTAAAAAAGCACTTAAATAAAACTCAATGTTTCTTTATTAATTTGTGTTTAGTCTGTGTTGTTTAAACAGACTAATCTCTTCAGTACATAAAACTGCTCTGTAAGAGAGCTCTCTTTACATAACACAATTTAAATCTAATGAAGAAAACAAATATAGGCCTATAGTAAATTATTAGAACACATTAACTAAAAACAAAAACAAGAAACAAAATATATTGATAGTGGAAACGATTAATTTTTTTTTAATTTTATCAAGTCTTAATTACACATTTCAACTAAAATATATACTTTTATTATTAGAGATTAGTAGTTCGTATGACTAAAGACTCATGTGCTGTAGGTCTAAAGCGGTGGCAGATTCCCCCTCCGCAAAACCCAATCGGGCATAACCCTTTTAAAACGGGGGGACCGCACTATTTTATTCTTCTTCCCAATTCGAGAGATTTTATTTCTCTCTCTCTCTCTCTCTCTCTCTCTCTCTCTTTTATCACTTTTGGGGGGGGGGCAGGGGGCGTGGATCCGCGCCTGGGCTGACGGAATAAAATAGATTACTGGCATGAACATCTGCACAGCTCACCGCTATGCCCAGGATAGAAGTAGTTGGAACGTCATCATCAATAGGGTCACAAAGGATCAGTCATGACTCGTAAAACGACGACGACGATATATCACATTTCAATTCTCCTTCGAGGTACAGTGATCATGATGATACAATTATCATGAGTAATAGAACCAGAGTATACAGAAAGATAGACAGAAATAACGTAACAACCAAGAACTTACGACTTGTGATGCACTGAGCAAACTTCTTGCCGCCAAATCCAATCTCCATTCGCTGCGCAGATTCCGTAAACATCTCCTTGACGTTCTCAATATAGTAGGTTCCCTTACAGAGTGTTACAAGGATTTCAACCTTTTCAAGGCTCTCCGCCGCACGAAGAAGACGACAGAAAGATCCTCTACGACCTACAAAATCAATGTCGAGCCTACCAATTATATTATTGGACAAAAAGATTGAAGGAGTCATAATACGTAATTACTCTTACGTTTACAAAAATGAAAATTCACGAAAAAGTATTTAGAAAAACGAGATTATGACGACTACTACAGGTGTACCTTCAACATTTCGGAAACACTACCCCAAAACATGGTTCACATCATTTCCAAATTTGAAGTCAATTGCTTTTCTAACAAAAGTTATAGCACTCTAAAGTTGAAACAACTTTGATGAGCCAAAATGGCAAATTTGGTTGCTTAGGGCTGTCTTTTTCTTAGCAATGGTGACATAGTGACACACAAAATAGATAGCGAAAAGATGCTATCAGCATGCAGATAAATATTTTTGATAGGAAGTTTCAGAAGATTTTAATGATATATATCTCTTAGTTCCCGTTGCTATGGTGATAATATGCCGATACATAATGTATTCTCAGAAATAAAACTAGGATATAGTTCAAATAATACATAAGAAAAGACACGTTCTATATGTTTTACCCCGCCCCCATCCCTTTGCCGTTACCACCACCTTACTTTCTAGATGATCCTTCTGATTCCAAAATCTTCTTTTCGATGAGCTCATCTCGATGATCACAAAGCCAGTCAAGAACTGGGCTCAACGACATCGGTACAACACCAGATGGCTTTCTATCAGTGTATTCTCTAAGCCCATGAACGAGGTCGAAATTAGGCTTGTCATCGTCAGGTTTGACGAAGAAGCGACGTTGACTCAAATCGTTTCGATATCTCTCGTCTTCCCCAATCGAGAAGTTCCCAAGTACCTCATAATTGTTGCTTATGCCTGTACTGCCAGCCATGTCCCCGTCGAGATTTAAAACAAAATACTTGAGATGATCGATACAGGGCCCGATCTTTGTAATTTACTGGTACATGTATAAATTAACTAGCGTTGAAAACAATTTGTATGGGCGTATCCCTAAAATGCATACCCACGCCATAACATGACAACAATAAATTGTTAGATACAATGTATTCTCTGATAAAGATGTTTGCTGTTAACGCTGGTAACCGATTTCTCGCAAAACACGTAAAAGTGTCAAACAAAATCATTACAAAGTGTATGTAATGTAATTATCACGTCGCGTCATCATGTTCGCTATCACATACAGTTTAATTATTTCGTCAATTTTCAGTAGCTTGAATGTATTATATTCGATGTATGTTCTTATTATATCACTGATATTCAGTCGCTTTGAAGAAGGCTATACCTTAATAGTGTGTCATGACCGGGGAATTCCACGTAATTATACCTTAAAGCCTAGCTGTACTAGTTTGGCCAGGAGGGATTAGACCTCCCTGCATGGTCACTTACATGTGGTTATATCATGAAATCAGCTTTCAATTAACATAAGAAAAAGGGGACCATGGGGGATCAACTGATACTCTTTAGGCATTGTTGGCTGTATACAGAGGACGCAAGTAGCGACAAGTAGTGCAGTCCCGCTTAAAGGATTAGTTGAGCTTTGTTGCAGAGGTCGCTACACAAAATAATTTTTGTGAGATGATGAAAAACTGATTGTCCAATTTGAAAGAACATACAATGCAAATGACGATATCATTTTTGTTTGATCAAAATCGGTTCAGAGACGGCTAAAATATACATAAGTATAACCATCCCCAATATCATTTGTGGGGCCCCACAAATATTCGATAATTTTGAACCAGCCGTTGAAAAAACGAGATAGCGCCTAATACGTTTTATTCAAGCCAATGCCAAAAATTGGATTTTGTAGGCTTTATCGTGTTGGTTATACATTATACGCAGAACCAGTCGACCCTGTATTTTTATCATACATTAATTAACTAACGATCACCGTATTTAAAAAAAAATGCAGCTGAATTGGTATGATCGTATTTAATCTAAATTTTACACATTTTGGAGTCTAAAATGATAACCATAGCAATTCTAGGTCCTTTAAAAGAGCATTCGAAATGTCGAACAAGAACAAAAGCCATGCACTTTGAAATCTATTAATATTTCGTGGCATGACTGGGGAATTCCACATACGGAATTCCCCAGTTATGACACAACCTATTAATAGCTTATATTGCTGGTATAGCCTACTATTATATGAATAGCGCACATGCATAATCCAAAACCATTATAATGCTTCCAGTCAAAGGCTGAATAAGCATTATTATTATAATCATTATTATCATCAATATTAATATTATTATTATTATTATCATTATTGTTATTATTATTACCATGTTTATCATTATAATAGTTATTATTATTATTGTGAAGGTCATCTTTTAGAGAGAAGACGTCTTTTGCCCGAATATCAACTTTTCAATTTCTGAATTTTGCGAGTGGGTGAAGCGACATTATAATGACTGTATGAGTTAGCACCCACGTCGAAATTGAGATAGTCTATTGAAATAAAATAACAATGTGTTAAGATAATCATAAAAAGATAACATAATAGAATCATATCAGATAGAAACAAAACCTCAAAAAAACACAAGGAAATCAAGAATGTACTTAAAGGTGACCATCAACGAAAAGTGTATGTTCCTAGCTGGCCAATACTTTTTTTTGTATATCACATTTTACTTATGTTTGACATTACACGTGTATGTCGTATATTTTGCATCATTTATTTTGTTATAGAATAATTTGTGACCCCCCCCCCATACACCCTCCGATCCAGGCTTTGGAATGTGTAACAGTGTCCGAATCGAGATACTATAATGTAGACTGCTCGCTCTCCTTTTCATTTTCGCTGGTATTACAAAATAAATGAAAAATGAACAAATGAATCAATAGATTTTACTGTGTATGGGAGTAATTTTAGATGTATGACAATAGGATTTGTTTTGCGACTTGATGAATTTTATTCGGTTCTAGGATAATTACCCCTGGAAAATCATCCCCAGCCAATTACCAACGGGACAATTACCCCGAAGACAATTACCCCCCGGGAAATTACCCCCTGGACAAATACTCCCCGAGGACAACTACCCCCCCCCCCGAAACTGAAATTACCTCCTTTGACAATCACAACCCTCCCCGAGGACAATTCTTCTCTGAAAATTATCCCCTTGGACAATCACACCCCGAGGGCAATTACCCCCTCCCCTGAAAAGTACCCCCTTGGACAATGATACACCTCCCCCAGGATTACCCCCGAAAAAATTAAACACCAACTTATTATCAGGGTGGAATTCCCCTTTAATGAACAGGGGGTAATTTTGCCGGGGGGGGGGGGGGGGGTAATTCCCCTTGAGGGTAATTTATTTTCGGGGGGTATTTGTCCTCGGGGTGGTTGTCCTTGAGGGGGGTAATTTTCCAGAGGGGGGGGGGGGGGGGGGAGGGGGATATTGTCCTTGTGGGTAATCTTCCGGTTCTGGGCGGTTATACGCTTCGATCCCACCTCAGTTCTTTCTTTTTTTAAAAAGGAGGGGGGGGGGAATACTCCCTTACATTGTTCTGTTTAAATTTAATTAAACTTAATTTCCCCTTTTTCTTGTTCATCCCACTTTCTCCTTTTTATTATAGTTCTTTTCCCTCTGTGGTTGTCGGTTTTTATAATATACCATTTCGTAGTTAGCACATGGGTCAAATAACCCCAAATATCCACAAATGTTTTACTCATGGAGAAGTCCCACTTTGTGTATTTTAGAATAATCAATGCCAAAGTCATGTATGTGCTTCATGAAAAGCTTTTGTTTGCCCTCTTGTTTCATAAGAATGTTCTGCGGGTGCACACATGAATAATGATTACATAACATGAGCCCGTATTCCTGATGGCGCTATATTAATAAAGCTTAGAGTCAGAACTCAGAAGCATCATCATTAGTGTATTTGTGAGTAAAATCGGATAAATAATAAGGTAGCTACACAAATTGCCAATTTTGGTTATCAGTTTGTAACGACACTGCCTCACTATTTATCAATTGCTTTATATATCTTTTATCCCTTTAATTTCCCTTTTTATCCGCCAAATTTGATTTCCGCATGCCTTTGCCCAGGTTATGTGATTTGTATCATATCTGCGTGCATGACATTCCACAAAATCTTTTATGAACTTGGAAGATTTGATAATATTGTCTGAATATTGTATATTCATACTCATTGATTTTTATATTAATAGTTCACATTTTCGTGATTTAATAGAATTTAAAATATAACAAAAAAATCCGTATTAGTGCATCCACACGAAAACATAAAGCCTATTTTTATCGATATAACTTGGATGCTATTGTGAGGAAATAAGATTTTTAGCGGGAATTATTGGAAATTTATATATTATCAATATAAAGAAAACAATTGGCGGATAGTGAGGCAATCATGTCACAGACTCATGAGTGAGTTGCCGATTCGTCTAGTAACTTATTTTTAGAGTGGACTTGCCCTTTAATTCGTCTTCTTACTTCGTCCATGGACCCATGGTTCGTCCGTATCCTTTTTGTCTGATAATCTTTTATAATATCCATTATAATTAAGTTTAATGACTTGTTTGGCTATTAATCATTTCGTCTAATGTATTCAGGTTGCTATATAATAATGATAGTGCATTTACTATATAATAATAATAATAATAATAATAATAATAATAATAATAATATTCCGCTTATATAGCGCTTAATACAATGTCTCTAAGCGCTTGACAGATTTACTATTGCGTCGGTCGCGCATTGAGTGCGGCATGCCCGCACACATTTTGTGCACAATCTCCTCTCCCTGGAAAGCATTCCAGCCAGGCGTATATACTTGCATGACGCCCAAAAACTGTATGAATTTTCTGGTCACCAGTCCTTCGGCGATTTACAGCATTACTATAATTATTATTATTTTTTAAATATCGGTCACTAGCTAGTGGGTAAAACGTAGGCCTTTAACCATGGACCTTCTCTTCTAAAATAATAAAATAAGTTGTTTACGAACTTGGTACTTAATTGGTACTTGGTTGGTTGCACGCCCGCCCCCCCCCCCCCCGGCTCCGGAATCTGCCCGGACTTTACACACCGACTTATGCTGAAAGAGGGGGGGGGGGGGGAACCAAAAGGCTCGTATAACAAACAAAAAAAGATCTGCTTTATACATACCTGACTAATGCTGAAAGGGTGGGGGGGGGGGGGTTGGTCCTAAAAAAATACTCGTCTCGGATACAGCAATATTTAAAATAAAATAAAATGGAGAGAAAGATGCCCCAGTATGTACCCCAGCCTTTTCTCTTACTTTTGTTAATTGGTCGATATTGTGCGATTTTTTTTTAAACACCTTCCCATTAAACCATCTCTTGGGGTGGATATGTGCGCATTATAAATGTTGTTGTTATTATTATTTATAATTTCTTATCTTAGCCTTGGTCTATTTTCAGGGGAGGAAAAAAGTTAAACCTGTGACTACTCCAGGGGAGTATATCCTTGTTTTTGCAACTTGTGGCTATAGGCTGTAAGCAGAGAGGGCGGAGCGACTTCCAAAGTGTGTGGGGGGGGGGGGGGGGGGGTGGGGCACCAACAAAAAAGGGCACTTTCTGGAAAAAGGGCGCCTACAAAGGGAAATCTCAAAGCGAAAATATACAATTTTGTAGACATTGGTATATACCCCTATAATTTAATTACATTATCAGGGATGATTTCAATATTTGTTTCTCTTTATAATTATACATAGCATAAAATATTGCCTAAGCATCATACCTTGCAGTTGGGTGTGATGGTCGAAAAAATCATTTGCGAGCGAGCAAAGCGAGCGAGGAAAAAAAAAGATTTGTGAGGTCGCAGTGCGAAAACTACATGTTATAATAAAGAGGAAAAACCCAATCCTCATCGGGTTATAAATAAGCACATTATCATAACAGCAGACTGAAAAGGCCTTTGGTAAATAACATAATTATAACATCTATAAATGTGAGCGAGCGTATCGAGCGAGCTTTGGGAGATATTGTTCATAGTCGCTTGAAATTAGGGGGGGGGGCACGTTTAATGATGCGAGAAAAAGGGGACACTTGGTACTTGGTACTTGGTAGGATTCCTCCAAAAGACGCCGTAAAGGTGTTTAAACTGGAGGTGTGTCGTTGTGTGCGGCCACCAACGTAAGGTGCTGGTTTTAAGTTGGTTTTAAGCGTTTTAAGCGCACTTATCGAAGGGATAAGATACTTATTAGAAAATAAAAGGAGCACGTGTCAAAGTACAAAGGGTAATTATCAGAGGTGAAAACGGGGCACTCACCAGGGATGAAAAAGGCACTTATGAGAATGGAAAATGGGCATTTGTCGACGGAAAAGAGGCAACCCTCAGATTTTTATAGGGGCATTTATGAAAAAGAGATAGGTTCCTTATAAAAAAAAAAAAAGGGGGGGGGGCACGTATCATTGTTAAAAAGAATAAATGTCAGAGGTGAAAAGGGGCACTGCGATATATGAAAAGAGTCACTTATGAGAATGAAAAAGGGGCACTAATAATAAAGGGAAATGTGCTGCATTTGTTGAAAGAAAAGGGGTACCGATCAGATTTTGATAAAAGCATTTATTAGAGGTGAAAAAAGCACTTATCAGGAGGAAAAGAGGCACTTGTCAAAATAAAACGAATATCTCTCAGAATTGAATAAGGTCATTTACCAGACATGAAAAGGGGCACTAGTATGAGAATGAAAAAGGACTATTTTCATAGGTGTAAAGGGGCATTTATGACAAGGGGAAGGGCTTTTTTTTTTTAAATGGGGGCACTTATTAGAAAGGAAAGGGGGCAAATGTGAAAATATAAGGTGCGCTTATCCGAGTTAAAAAGGTAGTTATTAAAAGGGAAAGGGGCACTTCTGACAAAGGAAAAGGGGCAATTGTCAAAGTAAAAGGGGCACCTTTAAGATTTGAATAGGACAATTATCAGAGGGGAAGGGGGCGTTTAACAAAAGTGAAAAGGGGCGCTTCTCGTATCCGAAAAGGAGCAATTACTAGAGATTAAAAAGGGCATTTATATGAGAATGGAAAATGGACACTTATTGCAAAGGAAACTGGGAACTTGTAAGGGAAAAGAGGTACGTGTCAAAATAAAAGGGGCACATGTCAGAGCTGGAAAGGGGAGGGGGCAATTTTAAAAATTAATAGGGGGCACTTATCAAAGTAATAGGGGCACTTTTTATGTAAAAGGGGGCGCTTCTTACAAAGTTAAAGGGGCACTTTTTCTATGTGAAAAGGGGCACTGTTTGGGTACTTGAATAAGTGGGGGCACTGTGCCCCCCCCCCCCGGGCGTGCCGCCTCTGGCTGTAAGGGAATTTAAAAACAAATCCTGATTTATCGATATATTGCACGGTTTGCAACACTTTTTTTACAGATGCATTGCGGACGGAGTAATAGCGGACGGAATTCGTGATTGTGCGTATATCGTGGCCGTGCTTGCGCGTTGAAGAAACATCGAGATCTGTACAGTGACGCAATAAACATGGCGTTCTTTGGTATGGGACCGCGACCGAGTGCCTCAACTGACACAAAGCTGTACGACCTTCTCGGAGTGCCACAAAATGTAGAGAATACAGAGTTGAAAAAGGTAACAGTCTTGGTTCTTTAAGTTTGAGATGGACAAATATGGGAGTAATTGAACGTTCCTGCAAAGACATTGAGTTTTCTTAGTTTCGGTGGTGGGGCAGAAATGAATGGCAATGCTGTATGCTTGTACTATAGCCTATTGCATGTGTGTGTGTGACATACACGCTACATGTATGTGCCTGTGACTCGGCAATATTAAACGGCCATGTCACATGTGTGTGTGTATGCGTGCGAGGAAGTCACGCCGGTTGAATACCGGCATTACTGATGTCGTATTCCGCCTGTACATGGTGCTGGTGTAAGTTGGAGTGTTCGTTTCCATGTGTACCTAGTAATTTAAATCGTTGTTAATGTCTGGTCATCATTTATAATATGTGTAACTGCCACGATTGTTTTTCAGTTTCATTCTAAATCAATTAGGGTATAGCGCGCCCGGTATTCGGTCACTTAAGTTAAGGGGAAATCGCTAATATTTTGATTTCTTACCTCTTTTATTTGGCAATCTACCCATCAAAAGAAAAGAAAATTATTCCTCTAACAGGATTTTATAGTCACTTGAAATATTGAATGATGATAAGCGAAATATTGAATGATGATAAGCAAAATATTTCTGTAAGAAGACGGAGCATTTTTCTGCCCAGAATTTTGTCGCGCCGAATAGAATTCAATTTGTGCGTGGTATCTCTGTTGCCAAGGAGCGAAGCGTATTTGCGCACTATTTTCACACAATTGCGCGACAAGCATAATATTCATTTTCATGTTCACTGTTTCGGAGGTAGTTTTCTGCCTAGCGAGGCAGTTTTCGGCCGTATGAATGAAGGTAGTCAATAGGGAGTGCACGCCATGCGTTCGCACAGGCTCGCTGTGGTACAAAAAAATAAGATGCGTGCGGCCATAGCACGTAATCCCCTCTGCACGGCTCAAAACTACACCTGCGGATACGGTGATCAGAAATTGGAATCTAAACTATTTACAGAGATACGGCGCTATAGTTTGAGCTTGCGATACTCAATAAATCTGACTCTAAATCTGAAAACTTCTTGAAATATAGCTCATTATATGGTACCCATATTCCTTAAATGCACGCGTAAGATATTCGACTTTTCAGATTTGGGTAGCAGGACCGCCGATTACATCGCTAAAATGTGATGTTTAAGCATACATTTTCCATTGCAAATGTGGTTCTCCAGTGACTCTGGCATGTTATTGTATGTGTGTGATATGCTATTATGCAATGCATTTTAAAGGGATTTTACCATGCATCCAATGGACCGGTTCTTATTTTTTTTCTCTCCCATTGTATTATCTTTATATCACAGGCGTATAGAAAACTTGCAAAACAATTTCATCCAGATAAAAACCCTGAATATGGAGAAAAGGTAAGTACTTGTTAAAGAAATCTAAAGTCAAAGTAGATATCTTGGATGTGATTTGATGAATAACGAGACATGCATAATTCTAATATGTTGCTTTCTTGTGAAAGTGCAGTATTAATATGAGGGGAATCAGGTGAACATTGAAGGTCATTCCCTAGTCCTCTCATTACATGTATGAGGGCCTTGAATTATTTTGTCCCCCAAAATAACAGTGAGAAAATAAAAAAATGTTTCCAGGGAATGCCCTTCTAAAGTACTGTAGTGCATGCTGTACAATTAAATATAAAGGAGGATGTTTGCATGTTCACTGTGCAACTTCATTTTATATCATGTTCAATGATTATTTGAATGGTATTTGTGTGCGGTAATTTCTAGTCATGGAAGTATACTTGATGAGTTGAAGTACAAAGTAACTGTCCCAATGTAGATAGTGTTCCTTGTACATTTAATCTAATAGGTGAAATCCTACAAACACTGTGCAACAGCTACTGATAATTTACTAATGTACATGAATCAAATGCTTTTTTAAAAACAATAATGTGGGATGTTTAATAATGAGATACTAGAACAATAATCACACAAAAGTTAAACCTTGCTACAAACATTTGTATGCACTTTGCCAAATTATTGAATGTCCAATATATTTGAAATTCATGAGTCAAATTTTTTTCTTCTTAATTTAAATCTTTTTCGGAATAGGGATTCAAATTCTTAAGTAGGTTTTTTTTCTTTCTAAAAAAAAATTTTCATTTACAAATCAGGGCCTCAGTACTGTTGTAATGCACTCTCTCAATCCCACAATTATATTTGACCGTGTATCATCAAAAGTTGATAAATCTCTGTGTATTCTTCAAAGGAGCAAATACGAAGTATTATCTTTTTTTCCCTTCATAATTTCCTTTCTCCAGTTCAAAGATATCAGCTTTGCATATGAAGTGCTGTCAGATCCAGAGAAGAGAGAAACCTATGATAGCTATGGATTGGAAGGATTGAAGGAAGGAAGAGGTGGAGGAGGAGGTAAGAGATTAGTCATTTATTCATTCATCCATCATGTCTTTCTTTCATGTCCTTGTGAATTTGTCATTCTTTGGTGAAATGCGGCACGAAATACATCAACTCTTTTTTGTTGTTGTTACTGCTTTGAGCCTACAGTGTATGATATATGTTTTTGCACATTTTAAACAAATTTAGGAGGGTGATATTCGATCCATGATATCTCATATTTTACACTAATTTATTGAGATCAATTACCAACAAAATGGACAGGAAAATTCTAGATTACAAATGATGTGACTAGAAAAGTTATCGTCAAAAGAATTCTGGCGATATCACATCCACAATTTAATGTCGGATCGGCGTGTGCTACAACTGAAGAAAACGAGCTATCAACCAAAAGTAAGATAAATGCATTAATTGGAATGCAAAATGTACAATCAGTTGGTATCACTTCTTACCCGCAAGTTTGATGAAATTTTCTCTTGAAATTTAGATTTCCAGACCCTTGTCGGCAAGTTCATAATTTTAGGAATGGACGCATAATGCTGCAAAAGTTGCTGATGTTTTGTTAATACTCGCCCACTTTCAAAGAAAATTGTGTCATCGGGTAGTACTATAGGTTCCTTTTTCCATTGGTGGTATCAGATTTTCAAAATCTTGACTATTTGTTCGCGATATGGAACTCTGTGTGAACTAACAATTATACATATTGCATTTGGGCTAATCATGGTTGGTCAGAAGTACAAGTGATTCCATACTACCGTATGTCTTTTAAGATTGTTTGGGCCAGGGAAATAATTCTTGATTGATACCCTTCTGAGATGTTCTGAAAAGAAGAAATGACATTTGTTCAATGTATGTGAATGTACTCATTCTAATTTCAATTTCATTTTAGGGGGTATGGAGGATCTCTTCTCCAGCTTTTTTGGTGACAATATCTTTGGAGGTGGAGGTCATCCGTTCGGTGGAGGAGGAAGGGGAGGTTCCAGACGACCAGGAAGGAGGAGAATGAAAGGAGAAGATACAATGCATCAACACAAGTGAGTGAGCCCCCATCTTGGTCCTTTAGAGAAGTTCATTTGTGAAGAGGATTGAGAGAGAAAACAATAATGGGAGGGGGGGGGGGGGAGGGGGAGGCAAAGAAGCAAGCTCTAATTTAAAATAATAAAAGAAATAAAATACGGGAAAATGATACTGTCATTGATAGTATGGGAGAGAAGGAGGTGGTGGGTAATTGGAAAATATGATTGTATTTGTGACGTGATTAGTATGCTAATTGAAATGTTCAAATGCAAATCAGGTCTGCTTCTGTCCCTTCAGCCTCATCTTTCATTGAAGCAGATTTCTAGGGTTAAATCTATAATTATATTATATGAGTAGAGAGGAAGTGAATAGTGAATAAAAGTAACTACTGCAAATGAGCAATGCAAAGAGGCAAACAAATCAGATAAAGTGTTAATCACTTAAAGATGAAAATGGAAGATGATCACATTTCTTATGACTCTATAATTTTATTATCATACAATGATTCCATTCCTCTCCCTCCCTTTTTCTGCAGAGTATCTCTTGAAGACTTGTATAATGGGAAAGTTGCCAAGCTGCAATTGAGTAAAAATGTAATCTGCGTGTCTTGTGGAGGGTAAGTTGATCTGTGTTTAGCATTCAGTAGTAAGCATGTTATTCATCAACTCACACATGTATCTATTTTCAGAATATCAGTTGATAGTGTTGTTTTGCTCCCCCCTTTGTAAAATAAAACAAAATAAATATCTAGTATACAGAGTTGACCAATCATTTATTTAATTTTGCTGGTAAAATTATCTTTTTTTAGGAGATTAATAAAAATGAAGATCCAGACATGTCGCATGAGATGTCTTAACTTTCAAAATGAAAGGAAAACTATTGTTTTGACCTTGCTTTAAGTAAGTATTTTGCAAGCATATGATTTAATGTTTTGTTATGGATTATATTTTCAGTGCTTGGGGCATGACAGATGCCATGCAACCTTGAAAGACAGCTATGTAGATGTAGATAGGCCTTTTGTGAGAGGTGGGGTGGGGGGGGGGGGGGGTCCTAGTGGATAGTGGATTTTTAGGTAGCTTTCCATGCTTACTTGTGTGGTAACTATAGTCAAATGGGGTGTTTGTTTAAGAATCTTACTGAAAGCGTTTTTCATGTTGTTTGTATCTGTAGTGTTGGGGGCAAGCCAGGTGCTATGCAGCCCTGTCGTACCTGCCATGGTAGAGGTATCAAGGTGACGATACGACAGCTAGGTCCAGGAATGGTCCAACAGATGCAATCTACTTGTCCTGATTGTAGAGGAGAAGGTATGTCTCTTTGTGATACTATGGAGAAAAAGTCTTATTCCAATGGTGATTAATACTACAGTACAAATAAACATACAGGTTTATAGCGAATTTAGTGACATTGAAACATTCAATGATTTTACTACATGTAACCTTTAGGTTAGTCACTGAATGCATAAGTGTGAAATCCTACTGTGTACTTTGATATTTTTCTTCATTGTTTCTGTAGTTTATTTTTTATTTGTTTAGCTTTACTATTTAAGTTGAAGAAAGCGCTATTTTGTTTTCTTATATATGTTTTAAAAACATCAATTTAATAAAGGAATTACTGATTATGTGCAGGTGAAATAACCTTTCAACGCTAAAACCTTTTTGATTTGTATTGAATGGAACTCTTTCAGGAGAAAGGATAAACGAGAAAGACCGATGTAAGAAGTGCAACGGGGTGAAAGTGAACAAAGAATCAAAGATCTTAGAGGTTCATGTTGATAAGGGAATGAAAGAAGGTCAGAAGATCACCTTCAGAGGAGAAGGAGATCAGCAGGTTAGTCCATGTTCATCTTGCAAACATCATATTTACAAACATGTATCAACAATACACTTTTATGATATAACTTTTCAATTGTAGTGCCTGTTTTTGTTGTTTATGTTTATGCAAGCATTGTTCCAACTTAATTTCTTGGACGAAGGAAGGCAATCTTTTTAATGTAATATGTTGCTAAAAGGGTTGAATCCTGATAGTGTTGTATATCCATTGTTGTGCTGCACTCATTTCCCACATGGTAAGAAAAGGTATTTTTTGTAAGAATTTCAAAAACCCTTTCCCAGACTAAGACTTTCAAGAGATGGTATAGCTTTAGATGAATGATAAGGGGAAACAATTGAAGTCGGCTATGAAGTGATTTGCATAAACACTACCATGTATCGCCACTTCAAGAAGTAGAGAGTACTTTACCTGTAGGATGCAGCTGTCATAATTATTCTAATTGACCCGAGTTCTGCATAATTATCCCACTAGTTCAGACATCTTGCCTATCCACTAAACAATGTTTTCCCTTTATTTTCAACTCGACAGCCGGATGTTGAACCAGGTGATGTAGTTATAGTGTTAGTGGAGAAGGAACATAACCAGTTTAAGCGTATTGGTAATGATCTGTACATGGAGCATACTATCGGTATCACAGAGGCTTTATGTGGATTCCAGTTCTCATTAACACACTTAGATGACAGAAAGATTCTCATCAAGTATCCTCCAGGAAAAATCATCCAACCAGGTAAGTTCTGTTAGCGTGTAAACATGAATAATTCAGGCTTTATTTGAATATCACAAATATATCCCTATGCACTGTGATAGAGAGAAAAATAAAAAAGAAAAGTGAGATGAGTAGGATAAACTCAGGATATTTCTTTAAGTTACCAATCAACATTGGAAGTTGTTCCTCAAAAGTATGTTTTAACAAGTGTTTTAAAATTGTCAACAGTATCACTATTCTTGGTAGTTTCTTGCAATTTAGTCTGGCAATTCTTTGCTGATGCAACCTTAAACAAGGGTAACTCATAACATGTGTATTTTATGGGTAGTAAGGAGAGACTTTTGAGAAAATTGAGGGTGAGGTTAGTGTTAGGTAAAGTGGTGTGGTTCTGACTCGGGGGGGGGGGGGGGGGGGGGGCGTTAAAGTTAAGAATTCATGTTCTAGAACCAGTTGAAATGCTTCTGAAGTTAGGTGACAAAGGCTTCCCTGGAAGTGTTGGGTCATTGATGAAAGTTTAGCATGTGAAAGATGATTACTAGTATACTACGGAGGATTCTGCTTGGATGAATATATCTAAAATCCTAGGCCCTGTACAAGAACAGTACAAGAGAATATGACTTTCTATACTTGTTGTGTTGCCTGTAACATGTTCCATTGTATCTCTCACATCCAGGATGTAAACGAGTTGTTGAAGGAGAAGGCATGCCCTTGTACAGGAATCCTTTTGAGAAAGGCAACCTCATCGTCAAGTTCAATATAGAATTCCCAGAGAATAACTTCACATCAGAAGATAAATTAAAGGTAAGCTCATTGTTTCATAGCTACGTGTCCAGTAAGCCCCACATTGATGTGGTTATATCATAATGTGGCAATGTTAAAATAGAGAAACCTGATGAGCTTGTGTCCTTGGTCAACTATATGTTAAAGGTACTAGTAATACAACATTCTCGGAAGGAATCTAAGAAGGAATCAGACTAGCTAGATCATGTTAGACGGGTGGTGATCTGTCTTATATATTAGTTGTTTGTTTGATCAGAGAGTGTTGTCCAAAATACATAAAATCATCCACTCATCCACTTATTTCATTATTGTTTCAAATGTTATGGTATCAGGCTGCATGTTAAACGCTCAAACAAAACATGCTTCCTTCTTCAGTTGCAGTACAGGCCACCGTCCGGTGTATTGTTGAACTGTTCACTAATCATTCAATGCATATATTCAACACGCCATTGTTTCGTATTAGAAGTATAGAATTTCCAATATGAGCTGCATATGGATAATACCACAGATATTATATACAGATGTATGCAAGGTCGTGGTTATTCTAAGTATAAGTCAACAAGATATATTTGGTAATGAGAGACTAGTAGTATGCCTATGATTACACACTTGTGTGTTTCTACCACTCAGGAGCTGGAGCAGTTGCTACCTAGACGACCTGAAACAGCCTCACCAAGTGAAGATTCCGAGGAGGTAACCATGATGGACTTTGAACAAAGTAATTCAGGTGGAAACTCTCGGGAAGCATACCGCGAGGATGATGAGGATGATGACCATCCAGGTGGAGGCCCTTCCGTCCAGTGCGCACATCAATAACACTATCTCGACTGTTTGGTCATATTGCATAGTACAGTGCTGCTGCTGATTCTCTATATATTGGCTGAGATGAAAGGCCTTTTGATGAGGGTAGGAGAGGGGAAGGGAGGAAATGTGATTGTTTTATTAGACCAGTGCCCATCGTTACTCTTATTTTCTTTCTATTTCTTCTTTTTAAAGGGTTTTGTATTCTTCTGTCATGCATAATTTAATATTTTAACACAGTAAGTCCATGTATGGTTAAAGGGAATGTGTGCAGATCTCTCTCTCTCTCCCTCTCTCTCTCTCTTTCTCCCCTTCTTTATATCTAAACTTCATTGGTATCAATTTAAACACAACACCTCAAATGTTTGACAGGATTGATTCCCTGACTCGTAAATCTGCAGTGTTGGAGAAATATAATCTAGTTTTATCACTTGTTGCTGAAATTAAATTCAAGTAACATTAGTAATTCATGTGACAGGGTGGGAGAAAACTCCATTTATATACTTTGTCTCTGTCATTTAGTAGCATACCCATTCTCTTTTGCTAGTACATGCAAATATTTAAATCTGCAATTTGCTTAGATTATAACCAAATCATGTTGAATTAGTCATAAAGGGAATCCTCTTTGTTAGTTGCTATGTAAAATAATTGAATTAAAAAAGTATTGACATGTAATTAATGCACATTAAAAAATGTATGTGTATAATGCCCCTAAAGATGTCTCATGAAAGATTCCAAAAGCTTTCAAGTTAAAGCCCCCAAATAGAAAATCAATGTACTAAGGTTTAAATGCAATATTTGTGCTGATTGACTATCTGAGTCTTAATTTCTTGTGATAAACTGGCGCGTGATATTCCACCTTGACTATGAGTGTATCCATGAAGAAGAAAAAAATTTCAATTATTTTCAAAAGACCTAAATGCCAGAAATATCACACTGATTATACCTTTAAGGTCTCTATTTGTTCTTTAGCCAGTCCTAAACAAAGTTGATGAATCTATTAATATATGTCTGTTTCTACTTTGCGATATATACTCACTAAATATGTAGGCTGTTATGATGTTGGTGTTTTTAAAGATTCTTTGAGATAATGATAGGTGGACACAAAAGTGATAAGCTGAATTATTGATTGTCAAGATTTTGTTAATGTCCAAGTTCTACATTTTGTGATAAAGTGAACAAATTTTTATCCTGACTTAGTTAGATTTAATTGTAAACGTAGCATGTTAAATGACGATAATACTCCACTTTTCTCATAAAACTGTTTTTTATTTTCCTTCCTAAATGTTTAGGTCAGTGTAAAGGCAACCACTATTAATGATCCTGACTGAAATTAATAGATCATTGCAAATTTCAGTACATTTCATTCTTGCCTTTTACTTCTCATTAACATTTTGGTAATAAATCTTTATTATGTAATGATGAATGAATATCCTGAAAGATTTTATGAAACTACACAAAAATAAAGTTAAGTGGTGATTCCTTCAGAAATCCACTATTTTAGGAAGAACCTTTTTTCTTACGCATGTAATTTTTCTCAATTTTGTTGAGAAAAGGGTTGGTTTTGAAAACTTTCATCAGCCCCTGTCACATTAATGTGCTTGCTTCCAACATTGCATAATTGTTACTATTACAAACATGTTTATTTTAAAACTCGGTTTCCACTAGATAGTTATGCCACATTTATTGATTTTTAGTGTGTTTCAAATTATTAATCAATTTTTTTCCTTCAATGTTCACTTGAGTTCATATTAATTTTATTCATGCACATGTATGTCCTTGATGTGTTTTTATTTTATGATTAAATTAGTTTTGTCCAAAAGTAGGAGTGACAGAATAAGAGTTCAATATAAAGAATCATTTTCTTGTATGTACTCATATTTATTGAATATAACTTTGATATTGACATCCATTTTGTATATTAAGGAATAGCAGTGAGTAGACAGTTTGACGTCATGTGTCATGAGATCTTTACAAGAAATAAGAGTATTGCATCACATACATACATACATGCCATGTACAGACCTTCCAGTCAGTTTAATAGCATATTGGGTGTCCTCTCAAAATGAATTGCATTTTCTGGTGGGACTCGTGAAAAGGAATTGTGTGTCTCGGCTTGGATACACCCTTTGTATGTACATATATCTTTTAAATCAATTCAAACAAATTTAACCTAAATGCTATAGCTCATTGATCTTGTCTCAAAATTGTAGTACATATGATAGCCCAAATGCTTTCTGAAAATGAGTATTTTATGAGACATACATGTTTGTTTATAGCCATTTCTAATTGCATTTTCCCCCTGCAACTTTGTAAAGCTTTAATTTATATGTGATATGTTTGTACTGCACAAATCAGTTACCTCATTGCTTAATTAAAGTTATATTCATACCCATCTCACACGGCTTATTTCATCAATTTTTCATAAGATGTTACGGTATCAAATAAAGAAGGCAATTACAGCAAATTTATTATCAGTTTATGTTTGTTATACTTGTATGACTTTGTAAATGCACATTTGTCATTGGACAGACATCCAACAAACACACATTAAATATTTGTGAAATCCCAAATGTAACAATATGAAATGTAATACTTTGAATGGAGAGGGGGGTCTCGATACTGTGTTATGTTATAAACTACAAAGAGTAAAAATGCATTGTCATTTATTAGGGATGCATGGACCTTGAACACATTGATGATGGTAAATGATGATGGAGCTTGTTACGACTTGGTACATCAGTCTTGTGCTTCATATCAGGAGTTATGTTTCTGTAAGGATATAAACTGCTCATGTTCATTAGTCTTTATTACAATTCATTTTGCTATGGTCTATTCAGTGAATGTCTCATACCGGTATGCTCTGTTTCTGGAGCTTGTTATTGCCTGTACAGGTTGTACACAGATTAGACGTTCTTAGTTTGACTCTGAGAAGACGGATGCCTTTGTCATTTAATTGTGTCATTTTTTTTCATTTGAAGTGTCATATTATACATGTAGTTCATTCCCTTGACTCTCAATCCCAGGGTCAAGGGTTCAAATCCCAGGCTGTCACTTATGTCCTTTGGTAAGACATTAATCCACTTTTGCCACTCTCCACCCAGGTGTTAAATGGCTACTGGGTAGGATGTGAAAGTCATTGTAGTTTGCTCTGCATTATGAGTGTCTGTAAATGGTGCCTGGCTAGAATGCTCCACAGGGAGTGGAGAATATGCATACATTGTGTGCTGGCAAGCCTGAATCTGTAAGCACTATTTAGGCCCAGAATATTATTGTTATTTCCATTGTCAAAACAGTTATTAAATAATGATTTTTGAGCTATCATTGTCAGAAGCATTAGAAATGTAATCTTGTTCCATATGAGGAATGCATTTTTCTTCTTTTCCCAACCCCCATGATGAGTCATCCATCATATTAAATTTGGGCTTATGGAACTTTTCTGAGCTGAAATATGGACTAAGGACTGGTCTTTGATATACAATGTAAAGTGTATGGTTCTATATTGCTGTATTTACAGTGTATGTATATATGTTCTACCATTGCACATGAAAAGTCTTATGACAGAAGAAAGAAAGCCCTTATTCCTAAGATCTTCTTAGGAATGTTATATTATTAATATGCAACCTAGGATATGCTGTTCAGATCTTGTCATGACGTGCCTGATGAATACTGTGTTCTGCTATTTTTTGTTTTTTTTTATAATTTTATTTATGGCAATGATGAAAGAAAGCAGAGAAAGGATACAATTCTTTGCTTGTGGAAATGCAAATCTGATTTTCCTCTTCTATTTAATTTTCAAAAAATGTACACAAAGGGATAACTTGTAAAGAGGTACAGTGAAACACCAAGAGAGGGTAGTTGAGTAATTCCATTGACTGAAAAGCAATAGTGTTTGTAAATACAACAGTTTTGAATGCAGTAGGTGTTTCTAATAATGGTGGAGTGTTGTCTAACAAGTATGTTTAAATTGATACATGCATCAGAAGACGAAGAAATCTTTCAAGGACAAAGAACTAACTGAATTTTTATACTGTCCTTCATATTGGTCTTTAGCCAAATGAGCTTTAAATGGTTTCCATTGGTCATGGTTTGCCTACATAGAGGCATGTTTATTACAGGTTTATGATAAGAAAAAGCAAACCTTACAAAGATTGTTCATCGGAATGATAATACCAGTCTAACTGTGTATAATCAACATTTTAAAAGAGAAGAAAAACTTACGTTTTCGATCATCAGTAAATTGATGGAATTTTAAAAATTACACTGCATGTATTTTGTATATCATGCTGCCACAAGCTGACGTGATAGTGTTTATAGGCACATCATAGATATGGAGTGAAGATGAGTTTATATTGATATCAATTCAGAAACCTAACTGCTTCATAGAAATTGCAGATATGATAATTATTCATGTCGTATAACTTCACAACCATCCTAATGCAATTCATTCTGCGGTGTGTTTATTTTTATGTCAACATAAAAAATAAGTTATTTTGTTTGTATTATTGTTACCACTAATTTCCTGGTACCAAGAGAGATTTGTAATTCACAATTGTGGATGAAAGAAAAGTTTGGAATGCAAAATATACATTTGACCTGTAGTGAGGGTTCAGATACTAATCTTTATACACGTATGTATATAGTTACATTTCAATTCTCGCTACCCCAAATAGCGATTCTGCCGAGATCCGGGGAAAATCCTGAAAACGCGCATTGCATTATGGGATAGCTTTTCGACATTACAGCTTCCTGTGCAGGCGGCGCGATAGCGCAAACGTAAAACGCCGTCGCCACACAACGTGTATGCACCGAATATGTCGTCTGCTCGGTCTTGTTTTTTTTTCGCAAATATTTCAACGTTTATTTGAACATTTCATTCGTTGTTTTTTGCGTCTTTTGACATCAGTGACGATGGTTTTCTTTTGTGAGGCTGCACAGTGCTGGGCTCATGATTCCAAGCGTAAGAACCCTGAAAAATGGGGGTGGATGAAGGCCGTGACTTGGGATGGGACTCTATACCGGAAGTTGTAGTGACGACCCGAGAGAGTGAAAATTACCTCGTCTCGCGAATTTCGAGATTTTCGTACCTATTTAGGGTAGCGAGAATTGTCAAGGGTTGCAAGCTTTCTCTAGTTATGACTTCAATGAAATAATTGCTAATCTGTTATCATTTAACTTTGTTTCACAATTTCGCCACACATTTTCCCCTCATAAAGGCACTATAAACTGTATTATTCTGTTACCAATGGGCCATCTATTATGGGTCTTTATTGTTTATTTCTCCTGCCCTTTCAAAAAAAAACATGTCTTGGGTATATGGTCCCTATCTCATTCAATCTTACAGTGATATTCTTGGTCAAATTTATCAAACCATAACAGTGTTATGGGATAATCATAATGTTTTGACCTATATTGCCCCTGAATATATACCCCAAGGTTCAATTCCAAAACACAAAATTTACCCGTGTCTATATCCTTTAACAATAAAATCAATATGAAATGTAATGGCAAGCTGAATTGGGCATGCATGCCTTGGGTGTATTCTTCAGTAATCAGACTTGGTTCAGTATTTTTGTTATGATCTATGTTACAGCTTTTAATTCTATTGATATATATAATATGTTTGGAACAGTTGTAGGTATGCCTATTCATTATTGTTCATTTTTTGTTACGTGTGAGTGATGATAATACTCTGCTGTGGTTGTATAGAGGCAGTAGATTAAATATGAGAATTCTGGATGTGTAAGATATCAGGAAAATGAAACTAATTATTAAACACACAATAAATTTCAGCCAGAATCACACACACTAAAAATGATGCATTAATAATTTTTGATGGACAGATTGATGTATGGATTGATAGATTGATGGATGGATTGATTTGATTAATAAATAAATGTAGATTGATGAGTGATATGATAGATAGTGGTAGTTATTTTACCTGACAGCTCAGAAAGCGATAAATGCTTGTTAGTAAGCAACCAGAAGACCGACAGCTTAAGGTCCTCTCCGAGGGACCTGGTAATGAGGATTAATGCCTTACCAAAGTGCACTAGCGACTTGGTTTCGAACCCGGGTCACCGGATAACGAGACCACTGCTCTACCGACTCTAGCCTCATCTAAAAATGAGTGGATGGATTTGATTAATTAATGGATTGATGGATGGATTGATGGATGGATTGATGGCAGCTTGGCTAATGCCTGGTCAGAACAGAGCTTAGAAACATTAGTATTAAGCGTTATATGAATATTGTTATCATTATAATGATAATAATTATTATCATCATGAATTATTTTTGGATGGAGGGTTGGATCATGAAGTTGGAATGGATGAATTGATCAATTTTTGGATAGATTTATTGATTGAGTGAGTGAATACATGAGTGATGGATGGATGGATGAATGTACGATCTGTTATTAGTTGCTTCCAAATATTATTTTGCTTTTGATTTGATTTGATTTTTTTTTTTTTTTTTTGGGGGGGGGGGGGATACATTAAAAAAATAAAAACAGTGGCTTCATTCTCTACCCAATGATTTTAGCTTCACTCTCTGAACAGAATTATATTTATATAATGATGGGTACCCAAATCATTCATTTCCAAGCTATTCAGTCAATCGCATATTTTAAAGTTAAATAGACCTTTATTGAACTATTCAGCACACATCAAAATAACGTGTGGGTGTGTGTGTGTTTCTGTCTTTAAAATAGAAATCAAGTTTGACAAAATGCTCAATTATGTCAAAGGGAATTTAGCATCTACCGTACCCCTCCAGCTCCGTGAAATACGTCCGGCGGCGAGGCCCTCTATTGATGAAAACCGTAGAGTCCATATCATAGCGACCAAAACATGGCGATGTCAACCGAAATAAATTGATTAGACCAAGGTAATTAAAAAGCTGTCATTTATTTTAAATTATTATAATTTCAGTGGTCATTGGTGAATGATGAAAATGGTATGGGACTTCATATTTTAAACGAGGAATAGCTTAGTTATGACCAGGGTTGAGAAATGAAGACGAGAGATCTGATTAGACTAGTTGCGTGAAAGTTTGAAAGTTAATTTTGTGTCTAGTGCCGTAGCGGGTCAGCGTCTGGCCCCAGCCCGAAGGGGCAGGCAGGGCAGGCAGAGTCTAGTCAAGACAAGGATTGCTACCGTGCGTTGGAAGGCGTCGGGTTTGGGGCGATTGTCATTGAGTTCTTCTTCTTGGTTGCTTGGTCCTCCAAAATACTCGTCTGAGTTTTAACTGGAGGTGCGGGTACTGGGTAGGGTGTATTAAATTTGTAGATGCATGGGGGGAAGATAGGGCAATTTTGAATTTGGCGTGCGCGCTGCAACTAAAGAAGTCATAAAAAAAACGAGACCATAGACTTCTACTTCGCGCACAGGGATTTAGATCTAGTAGTCTACAGTTGATTTATCAAAAAATGTGATCCATCAATAATAAGGTAATATCATGATTTGCAAGGTAAGATATCATACAATCAGTTGGTACCACTTTCTACTTACAATTTTGAGAAAATCTGCTCTCAAATTGAAGACTTTCAGACCCTTATCACCATCAGTAAGTTGATAACTTTTTCGGAATGGACGCAAATGATTGCAAAGTTTGCTGATCTTTTGACAATATTTTCACAATTTTTCACCCAGTTGCAAAGAAAATGTTATCTCTGGGTAATTTTATGTTCCTCTTTCCATTGGTGATATCAGATTTCGAAATCTTACTGATTTTTTGAGATAGCGAACTTACATGTGTGGGTCACGCGCGAACTTTGGTCACACCATCATACAGTGTCAGTAGTCAGTATGTGCTGTGTAAAGAACAAAGGCTAGGCTAGTCTTATTTTTTTAAATGAGAAAACATACCTGAAACTACACAATTTGAGAAAATTGTTCAGGCTCAGTGAAGATACGGTAAGTCATATTTCTAAAGATTATGAATTGATCTGAAAAGAAGTTACTCTGACCAGCATAATAACCTGTTTCTTTATACCCGCAAATCAGGTGGAAGTTGTGCAACATATATGGCAACCAGTTCAGTCTTATTGTCAGACATGTCTTACTAATTTCTTTTGACACAGCATCAAGGAAAGAAATTCACTGAATGAGCAAAGGAGCAAGAAACACAAGTATGATGTCCCAAACATGTAACAAAATACTTCTGCACTAGTTAACACAAGAACAGTACAAAGTTAGAGATGTCCGACGTGGTGGCCAAAATCTTGAAGGAGCACCAGAGGAGACCGGGTCAGCTGGAGACAGAGACCAAAGGCCAGTTCTTCTGGAGAATACTGCGAGAGTCTATAAGGGACACCACTAAACTTGTCTCTAATGCTGATAGTAAAACCATTCATATTGGTCATGGGGTTCACCACACTAGGAAGATCAACCACATGGAACCTATCAACGATGTACTCTTTAATCCACAAACACAGGTGAGTGTCACATAGGCTCTATGTTGAAATGTGCAAGAAAAGTTCTATTCAACATGGGGTTTCTCATTATAATTCCTTTAAATAGCAAAGTAAATTTACAGTTTAGAAAAATATTTTTCCGCAAACCATGATGTTGAGTTACAGTACAAGGGTCAGTGATTAATCAAATGTATTGGATTATTTCTCAAACTATTTTGTTCTTTGATGCTTTTGTAATAATTGCATCACACAATTACTTTTAGCGTTCACAATTTTTAAATTGGGCTCTGACTTTGAGGAAATAACTTTTTCTGAATGTTTGTTTGACTTGACCAACATGTTAGCTTTTGATTTTGATTTTGAGTTTTAGCGTTCACAATTTTTTAACTGGGCTCTGACTTCGAGGAAATAACTTTTTCTGAATGTTTGTTTGACTTGACCAACATGTTAGCTTTTGATTTTGATTTTGAGTTTTAGCGTTCACAATTTTTTAACTGGGCTCTGACTTCGAGGAAATAACTTTTTCTGAATGTTTGTTTGACTTGACCAACATGTTACCTTTTGATTTTGATTTTGAGTTTTAGCGTTCACAATTTTTTAACTGGGCTCTGACTTCGAGGAAATAACTTTTTCTGAATGTTTGTTTGACTTGACCAACATGTTAGATTTTGATTTTGATTTTGATCTTCCACCAGATACAGTGTCATGTGTGAATGGAAATATATTTGAAAAACTTAATGTATTAATCACATTGAATGAATATCTATGTACTGTATGATCACTTTGTCTTACACAGGAGTACCAGACAGTTGACTCGCGTGGGATCAATATCTTTCACCATGATGGTCGCTATAAAGGACATGTACAACCAGAGGAACCCATTGATAGACTGGTGTTCTGTAAAGGATCTAAACGATATGTGGGATGGACACCAGATGAAGTCTTTATCAAGGTGAAAATGAGATAACTGTTTAATCCTGCCTGAATGGTACTCTGATAGAAAAGAATTATATAGCCATTTTCAATGTTCAAAGTTTCAACTTATACATGTAGCAAAGATCAAATCTTTAATTTTATGTCTCCTAAGCAGAATTAGTTAGTCCTATATTTTATGTTCAAGTTTTATAACGAAATCTCCCCAAATCAAATTAGCTGATTGCTTAATAACAGCACAGTAACAGTTTGATACCTGATTGAAAGGGCCTTAACGAAGCATGATTGTGGAGTCGTCATATCTTTGGAAGACTTTGGTTTTAAGCTGTAGTATCCAACATAGCATGCTGGGATAATACTCCATTAGAGCAATGAAAGAAGTTAAAATATATGATTTTATTTATAATATTCATGTGTTGCCTTTATTATTATTTTAGAGTACATGTAATTTTTGATTGTTTGCATGTTTTTATTGTAAATCTTTCACAATTCAGTAAATGGCTTTAATGAAATGATAATGAAACCTATATCAATTCAATAAATATGAGCAGCTTCAAACATAACTCAGTCTGTAAAAGGTAGTTTCCAAGCATAGACAAATCAGAGACTTTCAGTAACTATTTTCTAAATTTCTTCATTTTCTCTTTATCAGATGTTTGCCCCAAGCTTTGAGCTGATCTCTGAGGCCAAGTCACCCCACCCTATCACATGTGTGTTGTATAATGAGCAACAGAATGAAGTCATCAGTGCTGGACATGGTCATATCATGGTAAACTACAACCGTTTCATATTCACACCATAGATGGTCAGACAATTACATGTTCAATCTTTTCTTTGTGGTAGATCAATATTTGATACTCTGTGACTGGATTAGAATGATGATTAATAGAGGAACAAATGTAAATAAGGAATGTAATGGATGAGAGGAAATATAAAGTATTTAAGATGTTATGTGTTTGAAAATACAATGCAAATATCCAAAGGTGTACAACAATGGTTACGTTTGAGGATAGCTGCAAGTATTAGAAATGATATAACAATGATAATTTCATTCATCAAATATCTTTGAATATCAAATTTTGTTTGCATTACTTTTTCCATCTATTTCTTGCTTATAAGCAAGGCATCTGAAAAAGTGCATTTTTGTTTGTTTGATCTTGTTGCTATTAGTCTTGGTGCTTCCGTTACGGTGCTAAGCATCTGGTCCCTCAGAAGGTAGTCCAGGACAGCTTCTTTGCTCAGGATACCTTCACCATGTTAGCAGTGGAGAACACCGCTAGTAGAGCTCAGCAGTGCTATGCAGTATGTGAGTCAAACATCGCTGTCTTCAATCTACATGACGGCATCATGCTGGAGTATAAGCGCAATCTGCATGTCAGGAAAATCACTAGGTAGGAATCAGTCATTGCCACATTATTTTGGTATAATATTTTGTCAATGGCTTCATGTATTTTTGAAGATATTTCACAACAAAGGTTGTTGGTTTACCGTTCGCTGTCATCTCATTTACCCATGTACTCTCACGTAGATGCCTTAAATTATAAGGGTACTGAGCACAAAACACATGTCTAGCAATACTTTATATTGAACCTTTTATTTACCTAAGGGAAGATCAGGCTAGATCGAGCTATTGGCCCAAATTTACAAAGGAGGTTTAAATTTAACCCCTGGTTTAAACCCTTATTGACATAACCCATGGTTTAAAATTAGTGAAATTATAAGCATTCCTTGCCTTGCGCGCTTCTAATATTGAACCTCCTACTGTGTCACGCTTAATTTGCGCTAATTTTAGACCATGGGTTATGTAAACCATAGGTTAAACCTCCCTTGTGAATTCAGGCCAATATGTGGAATGTTTCAAGGAACTAATTTTGTGTATGCACTGTAAAATTTCAATTGTAATTATTTATTTCTGATCTGTCAAGAAAACTAAAACACTTTCCTATAAATGGTTCATTATAATTATGTACTTATTATTAAAAATCAATTAGTGTCAGTATCCTTAAACAGTTAGTTTGTGCACAATAGAATTTTAATGCCATCAATACTCACTGACGTATAGTTTCTACACGTTAGTACTGTTTTAATTAGGTTATTTTTAACTTGTTGCCTTATATTTTTGGATTTAAAGAATGACGTTGAAGTATTGACTCCATACATGTAATTGATGAGTCATTAGACCTACTGTGAAATGGAGAAGGTACCATGGTAGAATCCTTATCATCCACCCACCCACTCTACTCTACTTGTGTCCACAGTGTGCTGTTCTTCAACCCTCTCAAGTACCTAGTGACAGGTGCACGGGATGGATCCATCAAGGTATGGGATACTGATTGGCATCTCAAGCTGGTCTTTGTGGGTCATCGGGGTCCTGTCACAGCTCTCTCTATCTACCCCTATGGACCCTACATCATGTCTGGCTCTGAAGATACTACCATCAGGGTCTGGAGTTTAGAGACTTGTGATGAGGTCGATCTGTAAGTATACTTTGCTTTCTAGCTCCCCTCTCTTTTTTAAGGGGGGGGGGGGAATACAAAAATTTGACATAGATTTAGAGTGTAAGTGGCTCTTTATGATATTACCTTTGACACTTTGAATAACAATGTTCTTCATACCTTTAATGCAAGTGGTAAGGAGTAAATGAACTGTTAAACATGTGCAATTATCTACAGAGTGTTCAATGCGACCAAAAGCAAATTTCTGTCTTTATACACATTTTACAAAAAGCTTAATTGAATGAATGACGAAGAACTGAAAGAGTTGGAAGTGGTATTATTGAACTTCATTACTTAAGAAAATGTTCCAAGCTAAGATTTGTTGTATTATATATTTGTCTTCCTATTTCATGTTGCTCTCTATTAAACAGTTAAAAAGCGTATACACAAAATGCTTACCGTACATACACTTTTTCTTATTTTTTCATGTAAACTCTGTCAGAATTGAAGCTGGGATTCCGATTGCAGGACTAGGCACACAACTCAGAAAAGATGATGTTTTCTCTTTTTCTGATACATCGGTAGACCTATGGAAACTACGCCACATACACAATCTGTTTACTACTGTAGGGTAAGTACTATATGCAGCTTTTATTGTTTTCATCTTGTTTATATTAGTGAAGAAATCAACTAGCATAAGTAATGACTTCTTAGGATTATCAGGAAAACAATGACATGTAAATTCTTGAAATATCTCTTTGTCAAAAAGGCTGTGGATTATTATTTGATGACTGGAAGAAATATATTCCAAATTCAGTAAGCATGAAATTTGACATTTTGCTGGAAAAAAACTTCTGATACTCGAATTCCAGAAGTATTATATGAAATGTGCTGAAAAAGATCACATTGTTCCGAAATCATCTGATTACTTGTATCCAGTCATTTTAAAAGTATATTTTACTAAAGTTTTTCTCTTAGTTAATGAATGGAAACAAAATATTCAGACAGCAAAAAAGGATAATTGATTCAGATTAGTCAGAATTTCTTGCTGATATAAGCTTGTCTTGCAAAAAAGATATGATTTTATTCTAATGATATTTCGTCCTTTTCCATTCACAGGAGCAAAGTGAACAAAATTAATATGACGACGCATCCTGACGTAAGTTGATTTTGGCTACCTTTTGTTTTGATGCCTTTCTGTAAGAGTGCTTTATATCATTATGCACCAACAGGTGTCCAACTATCGATTAATTATTTATAGTAGAGGCAAAGATTTCTTTTCTTCAGTTTTGTAATGTAATTTCCTATAGATGTTTTCTGAAATACATAGACATGTTAATGTATAGTTTTGCAGAGTTTTATTGTGGGTGGAATCATTGTGCTAGGGCTGCCAAAGGAGAATACAATTTCTGCACCATTTAATCAGTAAACTTTTCTATGTAAAAGTTTAGTTTATTTGCCCCCCAAAATTCTTCATATTTGATGGAAATATTGTTATATTTTTATGAAGTAAAAGCATCAATAAGTATGGACAGGAGACCTTATTAATGAATCAATATTTATGATTCACTAGAATATTTTCTCTTATACCATGCACATTATTACTTACCAGCATACTATATTCTATGTTGGTCATTCAGTGTCCTTTCTTGTTTATACTATGACTAGGTGACATCGAGAGCCATGTGTGTATGTCGTGATGGTACTGTACGTATTGTAACTCCTGGTAGCGGTGATGTCCTGACTACATACCTAGCTGATGATGCACAGCAGGGGGTAGTAGATGCAGCATATGCAGGCAATGAGAGTAAGTTCTATGTCACTCAAAGATGAGAGATTGATTTGGAGAAGTTTGGATTGTGAAGAATTATTAATCAAGTGATTAGCTACTGAAGCTCAATCAACTTTGAAAGCAACAACATTGGAACCTAGAGTACTCATATAATGGTGGTATTTGAGATGGATCTTACAATAAAACTGTATTACTGATTAGTAAATGGTAATCCTTGAACTGTAATTGAAACTTGTTGAGATCTATTAGGAGATATGCTGCCTGTATTCTTATTCATTTTAATCACTTTTCTCTATGAAGTGATGAAATGTGATAGCATTGTTACTAGTAATGCCCTAACTAGAGGGAGAGTAATGCTTGAAAAAAAAAAGTGCAATTTCATCTATGTACATAAGATGATAGTGTTGATCACTATAGTTATTTTTTCCCATTTTTTTCCTTCCCTATTAGATGTCTTATTTGCCATCCTGAAGTCTGGTCAGATCATCAAAGCTGATACGTCAGTCAACCCCTGTAAGGTAGTCAGCACCTGGACCCCTCCCTCAGGTAACGCTAAGGACAAGAACTCTCTCAACTGCATCTGTCTGTATGAATACGTGGTTCAATCTACTATGCAGAATGATACATGGAAGGGAATCCTCAAGACGTTAGCAGCTACCAATGCGATGGATGACAAACAGAATAAGAGTAAGGATCGCACCCTGCTCATCGGTGGTCGTAAGGATGGTTATGTCGCTGTCTTGGACTGGAAAACATTGAAATGTGTCTTCAAGACTGACGTAAGTTGTTGCTTTTGTGTTAAAAGTTGTTCTTTATTTTTGCTGTTTATCTTTTTTTGTAATTCTCCTCATTGATCCAGCTCATACAATCCCAATTCTATTCCACTCTGTCTTTGTCTTTATTTGTTTTGTAATTCTCCTCAATGATCCAGCTCATACAATCCCAATTCTATTCCACTCTGTCTTTGTCTTTATTTGTTTCTTAATTCTCCTCATTGATCAAGCTCATACAATCCCAATTCTATTCCACTCTGTCTTTGTCTTTATTTGTTTCTTAATTCTCCTCATTGATCAAGCTCATACAATCCCAATTCTATTCCACTCTGTCTTTGTCTTTATTTGTTTCTTAATTCTCCTCATTGATCCAGCTCATACAATCCCAATTCTATTCCACTCTGTCTTTGTCTTTATTTGTTTTGTAATTCTCCTCAATGATCCAGCTCATACATCCCAATTCTATTCCACTCTGTCTTTGTCTTTATTTGTTTCTTAATTCTCCTCATTGATCTAGCTCATACAATCCCAATTCTATTCCACTCTGTCTTTGTCTTTATTTGTTTTGTAATTCTCCTCAATGATCCAGCTCATACATCCCAATTCTATTCCACTCTGTCTTTGTCTTTATTTGTTTCTTAATTCTCCTCATTGATCAAGCTCATACAATACCTGTCTTGTTTGTATTGTAGGCTCATGGCTATAAAGGTGTGTTAGGAGTTGCAACCAATGCCAAGCATGATCAACTTGTTACAGCAGGACTGGGTAAGAACAAGCATTAATTGACATTCATTCTTGAAAAGCCAAGCTCACTTGATAATATGTAGTTCAAGGCAAAACTATATATCAGTCTTGAGTATATGTTAGGACTCCAGTAAACATACAAAAAACAATATTGGCCAACTGGAATGAGCATGAAGCTGGTTCCACCAAAATCCTTCCTTTACTGCCAATCATTGATAGGTAGGGTTGAACTGATTGATGAGATATGATTGATTGCTAAGGGGGATATGGACTTAAGATGGGTTATTTAATCATTGCACCTGTAGATATTTAGCAGTATATAGGTCAATCCAACTAACATTAGATCAGTGAAGATTGTAGCTTCAAGAGTAAATTTAACCTAATTAGGGAGGAGGGGCCCCTATCTCCACCACCAATGTCACTAAATTTTGCACAAATGTGGAGAATAGAAAATTTGAGTCCATTTATATCTTTTATTCTTTTTAATTGTTAGTTTTGGAGTAGAATTACATTTTGGAAGGTCATTTGCATTGGACTTGTGTTCAAGTTGAGCCCAATTGTGCCAAAGGACTGGGAAACAAAATCAAATCATGTATGGACTTCACAACAGCCCTCCCATTGCTGAACACTTACAATTGATGGTAACTTTGCCATTAATGGTAACTTTCATTGAAACCTTACTTAATTGGCTGTTGAGCCCTGTTACCATGGTAGTTACCACTAATGACAGAGTTACCATTAATGGTAAGTTTTACGCAACAGGTCCCTGCTCTGATTTTTGGTGACAAGTATTGAATATATAGTTACCCTACATTTTTGTTTTTCAAAAAGTTGGATTTTTATGCCTCCGCCACCGAAGGTGGTGCCGGAGGCATCATGTTTTCGGGTTGTCCGTCCGTACGTCCGTACGTCCGTCCCGTTTGACCGTTATCACAATATCTCAAGAACCATTTAAGATTTAAACTTAAGACTCGGGAATAGTATTTATCACCATAGGAAGACGATCTGATTAGATTTTGGAGTACGTAGGTCAAAGGTCACAGGTCACAGAGGTCAACTTATGAAATTCCTTGTATTGAGTTTGTTAGCACGATATCTCAAGAACCATTTGAGATTTAAACTTCAAACTTAAGGATAGTATGTATCACCATAGGAAGACGATCTGATTAGATTTTGGAGCACGTATGTCAAAGGTCAAGGGTCACAGAGGTCAACTTATGAAATTCCATACATTGAGATTGTTATCATGATATCTCAAGAACCACTGGAGATTTAAACTTCAAACTTAGTGATAGTGTGTATCACTATAGGAAAACAATCTGATTTCATTTTGGAGCACGTAGGTCAAATGTCAAGGGTCATAGAGGTCAACTTGAAATTCCATACATTGAGATTGTTATCATGATATCTCAAGAACCACTGGAGATGTAAAAACTTCAAACTTAAGGATAGTATGTATCACCATAGGAAGACGATCTGATTAGATTTTGGAGCACGTAGGTCAAAGGTCAAGGGTCACAGAGGTCAACTTATGAAATTCCATACATTGAGATTGTTATCATAATATCTCAAGAACCACTGGAGATTTAAACTTCAAACTTAATGATAGTGTGTATCACCATAGGAAGACAATCTGATTAGATTTTGGAGCATGTAGGTCAAAGGTCAAGGGTCACAGAGGTCAACTTATGAAATTCCATACATTGAGATTGTTATCATGATATCTCAAGAACCACTGGAGATTTAAACTCCAAACTTGTTTAATTTAATATATACTGATGTAGCCATCAGAATTTACTTTGTATTTTAATTTAATAATTCATTTTAGTTTGTAGAAATTTGAACAAGGTGGAACTCATCCATAGTAACATATCAGACAAAATCCTTGACAACCGTCAGCTACATTTTACTATAACATGGGTATAGCATTGAATAGTTGAGTGACACCGTTTAGTAACTTGCAAATTAGTCAGCACAGACTTCAAAATAGAATCTCATAGATTACATTACAAACATTTGGGTTGTTTGTTTAGCAACTTTTTGTGTTTACTTTTTTAATGATATAATTTTTCACAAGTCACTAGTTGTAGATTGATTGTAACCCTTTTCTCTGTACATCATAACATCATTCATAGATTGTGGAATGATCAAAGATGGTAAGTCTATAATTTGCACCGCATAGAAAGTTTGCTGTGGGACTGATTATAAACACTGCATAATGCTCTCACTCTTTATGTATTAAATCAGTGAAATGCACGAGCAATTTATACACAGAATGTTGTTTATCAAATAACCAGATACAGCTGTGCATGTTCAGTTTATATGCAACTATGAAATGAAAATATGCTTCACTTTCACCCCAACTCCATTGCAGCCACCTTTTATGCACTGTGTTGATAGTATTCATTCATTCAGTGTCAACTCCAAATCGATAATAGTTTATTTCACTGGATATTCACTCTTTTTGGCTAAGAGATCTAAATGGTGTTCGTCCATCTGGAGTCTGTTGTCCGTCACAAACTTTTAATTAACCTGCAAGACTCTCTTGTGACAATTAACTTCCCGTTTGTTAATTATAATGTGAGTTAACTTGTGTCACAGAAGCACATTGGGGACCTTCCCTTGTGATGCTGTTGGTGGTCACATGCTAAGTTCAAAGTTCATTTGCGGTCATATGTTAAAGTTTACCAGCACGTCTTTCTTGTAACAAATAATGCTACGGTCACAAAGGTTCGTACGAACGATAATTTCGTACGAATCTCTCTGTTTTTCCGTTGTCTTCCCGAATTTTCATTGTCTGAAAATCGTTCATACGGCGTTCGTAGCAGTTCGTAATGGCATTTGTGACCGAGGCTTAAAGTACAGCCATCCTTTGGTCAAGCGTGCTGTTTGGGAACATTCACATGATTTGGTCACAGGTGGTTGATACACAATCAGGCAATTGCCTTGTTTAAAGAAAGAAACTAGTTAATGCACTGCAGGGTACATGTACCTGTCTGTAAATTTCAGAGTTCTTACAATGTTTGCATGAGTCTGTGAGAGTGTTGTTTTATGCAAACTGATCAGCAAGACGAGTGGCTACCTTTATATCATTGGTTGGTTTTGATAGTAGCACTGCTAGGGATTTGAAATGGCATGAAATTCAAAGTTCTTTGGATAATTAACATTTGTTGGGTCCCTTTTAAATTATATAACTGAGACACTCTATTTGCAATTTCAGCTCTCAAACACTCAACCGCACAGTTTCTATGAATTGTATGATATGGATTTTGTTTTGCCAGATCAATTCTCAAACCGGTATTAAGTTATGAGTGATGCGCACAATTTTCTTCTCATCAAAAACAATTTTGAATTGAACACTCCCTACCCAATCTACCCCATTCCAATAATAATACCCTACTCTGAAAGCAGACTTCAATGAGTGATTCGTCTTCACCGTCTAAATCTTCATCTTCTCTTGTCTCTTAAGTTTGATTTCTAATTTATATCTTAAATTTTTTCTTTGGTTATCTCTCAAACTACTAATCATCAGAGTCTTGTACTATTTCCATAGGGTGCTGCAATGACTGGCTTATATTTCAAACCTAATATATTGAACGGATTAAGATATGTCTAGCCCTTTTAACTTTGATTACAAGACACCCGCTTCCCCCCCTCCCCCTTCCCCCCCCCCCTCCCATGCCCTTTGACCCAAGCCTTCTCTCAGTCGTCCCCTCGCACAATTTTGGTTTGGTTTGTAATGTTTCATGCAATCCCTTGTACATTGCATTCCCCAGTACAAAGCAGAGCAGCATGTGCATGACCATAGTTTTATGAGTTGGCATATTGCTGTGAAATGATGGCCAGAAAGAAAGATGAACTCCTTTTGTGCATATATATATATATATATATATATATATATATATATATATCCCTTTTGTGCTTACTAAATATTCATATTTCTACAAGATTTGTTATCATTCAAATCTCAACACAATTGTCTGTGTTGACTGTATCTCTTTCCCTGATATTCCCTTATGTTGATTTTATTATGTGACATTATTTTTAGAAATTCATATCCCTTTTGAGTATGTAAATACATGTAGAGTCATAGTCTGATGTGTTCTTTCTTCTGTGTCCAATGTCTAATTTAGATAACGTTATCAAAGTTTGGCGAGTATTTCCTTTTGCTGAGGAGGCGTTGACACCTCTCATGTCAATCTACTGTGCTCATATGCCTCTCCATATGACTGTGATGAAAACTACACTCTGCGTCGCTTTCCAGGATCCAAACACCGCCACCTACAGTCTGGTTCATTACAATCTTATCAATAAGAGTAAGTATAGTAGTGAGAATTCGTAGAACTCATGTCAAAGTAGATAAAGCCACCTTGCTTGTCCATAGGTTTCTTTATTAAATTACAGGGTCCTTATTTCCTAGTCAGTGTTATAATTATTTGCTGTTAGCAAGTAGATTTCACACTTGTGCTGTGCTAAAAAATGACCCTCTCTTAAATTGATTCTCCACATAGTTTTTTGTAATGTATTTGTGAAAACCAATCAGGTCTTTACTTTTTTTCAATTTTCAATTTTAGTATCATGAGGAAAAAAATGAATGACATAAGACAATCTGTGAGCACAAATTAATTTGTTAATTTTGTTGGTATAATGGCGAATATATAAGATAAACAATGAGTTAACCAACTTAGGCTTCTTAGCTGAGTATCTGCCAGTATCTGCTGGCGGATTACACTAAAGATTCTAATGATAATCTTGTTATGTTTTCAGGTCGTAATGATCACAGCCCAGATGAGGATCATATTGATAACATTACTGGCATAGCCTGTAACCCACGCATGAAAGTATTTGCTTCAACTAGCAATGATGGTACCATCAAAATATGGGATGACTACAATAGACTTATCAGGTAAGAATAAACGCTAACTCGTAAGAGAAAAAGAATTTGACGTGGTTGGATGAGACTGTTTGTTGGAAATGTTGGTTGGGAACATTTCAAAATGATTGGATGACTTGGCAGTGAGCCGGTACATACAGTTACGTGTATATTAGATGTGATGAACCAGGTATTGGGAAATCAAATACTGATATTCATAGAATAAGACAAGCATAAGGTCAGCAGTAAACCTTAAATATGTGGTATGAGTTAGCTCACTAAATTATGAAATACCAAGTGTCAACCTCTTTAGTACACTCCCTTGAATTTGTAATTAAATGAATAAATAATAATCATGTCACTATCATGAAGATAGATTTCTTCTTTTCACTATAGGACTAAATTAATATATATATATTTTTTTAATGGAATTTTTTCACCGAAGGGGCTCACATTTAATAAATCAGCAGTGATTGTGGGGGGGGGGGGGGGGGGGGGTGCAAATTAAATATAGTGTCTTTCAAGAATATGTGCCAGATATTTATATGAAACAGTACCTATAAATTGAATGTAAAAGATGCATGTCTTTCAAGGAGCTAAATGATCATTGGAATGAGAATGCTCTCTCTCTCTCTCTCTCTCTCTCTCTCTCTCTCTCTCCTTTCTCTTTTAGATGTATCAAGCTGAATGCAGAACCATATGGTGTAGATTTCTGTAGCCAGCGAGGAGATCTCTTGGTTGGTATCGGAAATCATATCCATCGTATCAGTCATGATAGCTGTAAGTACCATTAATACTACATGTATCAATAAGCAATTACCAACCGTACTTTGATTCTTATTTTGCACTGAACAAATCAATATGTATGGGCAAGTCCTAATTTGTCCATGTCCAATTCTTCACCTATAATTGACCAAAATAAACACAAATTGATATAGCAAGTATCATTTTTCTCGTCATTTGGTCTGATTCATTAAATATTCCAGAGACATTTCAATCCAGCTGCCATATATAATATTTCATTTCATTATTGCATGTTGTTGGTTGCAGACATGCCTAAGACATACCTACGTAAGATGGTATCTATGGTGTTTCCTGAGGTACCCTCTGAGCCATCGTTAGAGTATGAACTAGACGGTATCAGAGCTCTTACACCACTCAGCCATAAGAGACTCAAAGCAGCTCACTCTTCACTCTTCAG